ATTGTTCAACATTTTTTTACCAAATATTTCTCAAATTTCAACAATTCAAAACATTCTAATCAATTATTCAAATGTTCAGTTGAAAAGTCAATTTGTCAGTCCAATTGAAAATGACTGATGGAACCAAAAAAGTAATTGATGACTAAATAGCCGATATTTACAAAAATCGACTTAAACTCAGCTTAGCTCAAACAAACTAAAATTGATTTTCCTTTTGTATAACAATATGATCCAGAAATGATAAACAGCATAGTTAGCATCTTATTGTAAGAGCTAAGCGTTTTGAAGGCAAGTAAAGATGGGCCGGTGGGAATCCATAATCGATAGAGGTTACTTCACTCCAATCAATGTAATAATAGAAATTAAATTTTGATTAAAAAAAGTTGATCAAAATGAAGAGCTTACCAAGCTTTGTATGGTAATAGAGGGTGGTATGAATAAGCTACTCAGCTATTCCCTGGCTTTTCTTGCTGTGATGCTTTGAGAATTAATAAATGTAATTCAGCAATAAATTAGTTTTGCATAACAATATGGTTCAGAGATCATAAGTTATCAGAAGCAGAGTCAGGATTATTATAAACAATGAATTTATTTCAACTCTTGTAACCAAAAAAGCTAGATAAGTCGCTAAAAACAATGAAGGTTGAAATGGCTGATAACCATCGGTATAATCGATCTCTAAACATGACGAATATTAAGCGCTAATTGCTGCTCTTGCGACTGCATTTTTATAACAGTTTACCTGTCAAGCCAATGAACACCAAAAGTGTCATTCAAGCTGTCAAGAAATGACTTTTTCTCGCTTCTAAAAAAAGATACTCGAATGAATGATGAAAATGATGTTTAAAATTTTGTCCCCATCAATGGAGCAACATTCAATACATGATGTAATTGAAAGCTCAACTCTATTGACCATTTGGTTTCTTTCAAAGTTTATCAATAGCTTTCAACTGTACTATAAATGCATTTGAAAGTATAATGTGAAAGGGTTGTTTGATGGTCTCATTGATGGACAATTTGATTATTGGAAATGGCATTCACATAAAGTGATTCAAGTTGAGATTATAGTGAAAAGACAAAGCAAGAATGGCTTTAATTGATTAGGAAATGTGATAATTTAATGCATTCATTTCTGTAATATCGAGACACAAAAATGGTCAAAATACTTCTCACAGCTAAATCTGTTTGCACCTTTTATTGGTTGGTAAACATTGACTAGCATTTATAATGGCACATTATCATCCATTGAATATAATATTTTTTTCCTTCTTCTACTTCTTCTTCTTGTATAAATGATGAAAGATTAATATAATTTCTTGGTACCTTGTCTGGTTGAGTTATTACCTGGTTTACAAAAACTGGTAAAAGAAGCAAAGAAACCCTGCAAAAACTATTATTATTATTGAATCGTTTAATATTATCATTATCATGAGAGTGAAAGATGTTGAGCGAAAAGTGAAAAAAACTCCAATTCATAACATTTAATGAGTGGACATTTGATCGCCAATGGACAGTGAGAAGAAAAATGTTGAAGGAAAAATAGTTTTGGACAAGAGTCGATTAGATGATAATAAGATGAGGATAATGAGAGTGGATGGTTTTCATGATGGCCAATCGTTGGGATAAAAATGAAAAGGTAAACAGAAAAGTGAAATAAGTAAGAATCCTGAGAATCGGGTCATGAGCTGTGAATAAGTTGATAAACAGTATTATTAACTTTAACCGGATAACCTTCCCTGTCTGTCCCTGTCTTGTTTCTCTCTACATTATTATGATAAAAACATTCCCTGTTATTTTATTTCTTTTTTTTCTTCCTTCTTTGCTTCTTCTTCTGTTCAACATTCACTTGCGATTGTTCAGAGTTGATTCAAAATCTACTACAATTGTACCAGATAACAACTAGTAGAGTAAATGTAATCTTTAAATGTTATCTTCTCCACCATCGAACCTTGCCTCAGCTTTATTCACCTCTTATTTTTACTCATGACTTAATCTTCATCAACATTTTGCTTCTCTTGATTGCTATCAAATTCACTCCAAGACATTCCAATCAATTGATTAAACCCAAATTTAAACAAAACTGCCAAACTTCATTTCTCAAGTTGTTGTCATTCGTCTTGTTTTGTTCAGTTTTTTTCTTCTTATTTCTTCTTCTTCCCTGCTTTCAATGTTGATTTGTCTTCTCGCTCCTTCTCTTTATCTCTTTTTATCATGTTATTCAGTTTACTTTGTTTTCTGAGGTTATCTGACTTTTCTGCTCTCTTCAACCATTAACTTGATCGATTCACAATTAGCATAGTTTATTATTTTGGTTGAAACTTTTAGGGCAGAAAAAAAAGTCTCTTTCAATCATTAATTGCTTTGCGTTGGAAACATTTTATTGTTACTTCATTGATCCAAACTTTCTTGAAACATTTAAAACTTTATATTCAATCGTACTTTTCGTTGATGAATTTTCAGCAATTTTTTTCTTCGTTTTTCGTCAGAAATGAAAAGACATGAGAAAATTTTTGGCATTGTTTTGTGTGAAATCTCGACTTTGATTATGAAATTTGTATGAAAATGGCCACAAACTTTTCAAGTGTCATTATCTTTCTCTTCAAGTTATTTCAATCTGTACATTGGTTTAAAGTTGAGTGTCAAGTGATTCAGTTGATGGATAATGAAAGATGGTTCAAGGTGAAAATGTTTCAAATGGTTGATCGTCGAGTGGTTGCCATACGTCAATTCAAGATGTCTTAATTTAGTAACAACAGTTTCACAAGTTAGATCGGATTAGATTAAGTTATGAATAAAGATTGAATGATCAGAAAGAAAGTTACGATTAAATCAATCAAATTAATCTGATTGAGTCATTAAGTTGTCCTTTTTGGCCAACATTTGGAGATAAAAAAGAAATGTCAATAATTAAATTAAAAGACAACATTCAAGTTGATCGTTAATGTTCAACGAAAAACCTAATCGATACAATTTATATCCAAACTTATTTACAGAACTTTTATTCCATTCGTAACTTTCTTTCAATCTTAAACAACAAATTTCTAGAAATGATCAGAACAATGAAACAACCAATCTTCAAGATCAACCAAAAACGAAACCTCATCAAAGAATCGAAAAAATTCAAAGCCGACTTTTTTCGAAAAATTCTTTTTTCCATTTTTGGTATAATTTTGAAATTTATTCTCATCAAAGATTTCGAATGCTTGAAATTTTCTCGAAACTCGAAATGAACTTTTATGTGAAATTCATGTTCGATGGTCAACTGCGAACTGTGCAAACTCAAGTCCAAGTGTAAATTGATTCGTATGAATATTGATGCACATCAACCATAATCAAATGGGTTCAAAGCATTGTTGACCTTAATCAATCATCGCGTAATACTGATTGATAATATAAGTAAACTTGATAAACATACTAATGACCTTTCACATATAAATGATCAACATTTTCATTGGTAACATTTGATTATCCATAAACAGAGAATATCATTTTCTTCAATATTAATGTTCAACTTTTCATGAAGAGTATTAATAATCGGATTAAAATTTCCATGTCAAGCATTTTTTGTCTTTTCATTTTCACTGCTACAGATTACAAAATGAATACAAAATTGAAAGTGAACCAAACTTTGGCCAACTCATTACTATCATGAGATAATTATCATGACTTTTCCAATGTCACCGAGAGAAGGTTGAAAAAAGACAGAGAAAAGTTGCCTTTTATTCTTCAGTCAATATTCCATCATGAATTTATTCATGATCATCTTTATCCAAGAGTTGCATTTCATTGATTAAATATTGATGTCATTTTTTTTGCGGTCAATTTTTATCATTCAAATTGAACCTCATCATGAGAAGCTCGGTAAAAGTCAATTTATCTGTTCAATCATTCGTTGAATGAAAAAGAGAACGAAAATGAAAAGAAAGTTTCCCATGAAAAAAAAACAATTGATATTCAACATTTTCTTTGGACGAAAAGGTCACAAATTTTACCTCATTTTTTGTTCAATGTTGATGGTGAAATTATCAGAGCGTATCAATGAAAGTATAAAAAAAGTGGAGGAAAAATTATGAACCAGAATTGATACATTCCTATCATGATTGGGAGGGAAAAGTAGAAAGTAACTGAGCAAATGTGATATTCCTTTGAAGATCAACTCTCATCATTTTCAACAATTAAATGGTTCACCAAGTTGAAATGATTTCAGTAATTTTAGAATCTCATGAAATAGGAGAAGAAAAAAATTTTCCTTCTCTTCTCATCAATTTCATTTTGCGAAATTCATTGAAACAAAAAATTTTTTTTCTTAATTTCTCCGAGTTTCTCATTTCCTAAGTTTCCAATGATTCGATGCTTTAATTGAACTTTTCAAAAGAGAAGAGAAAATGTTTGAAAAATTTTTCGCTGAAATTTTCATCAATTTCCATTATTGAAGGAACAATATTTTTGATCTCATTTTCCATGTTTCCTTCTCGTTTCTTCACTCCCTGAACATGGTAATGCTATTTTATTTGCTCATTTCTTGCTCTTGTTGTTGTTGCCGGTGTTTTTGTTTGAATGATCAAAATGATAAATAAGTTTTTTCTTCATAAGTCAATAATATGCAAGCCTGATTTTCACTAATATTGATTTTTGCTTTTCTTTTTCACTCCCAGCCAATCCCTGTTTTTGGTACGAAATGACAGAAAAATATTATTACTCAATTCTGCCTCAATCACATTCTTAGTTTTGCCTATTTTGCGCTTCTCGTTTCATCTCCTGTCTTAGTCACTTTATCACTATCAATCACTGAATCAGCGAAAATGTTATTAAACAAGATTTACTTTGAACCAACAGTTTCTAATAAAACATATTAAATAAGACGATAATGATAGTGATTATGTTGATGGTTATGATTACGGTTCAATAAAACTTTCGTAAGGGAATTTGGAAAAAAGCAAATTTCTCTTTTCATCTTAGACACTTTATCGATAAATATTGAACAGTAAGTTTCGCCTTACCTCAGTGTCTTTGGGCACAATGTCGAGTGTATAACCTGAGAGAATGCTTGGATCGGCATTGATATGTTTAAGGGCAAGGTTCACTGCTGGCATCACACCTCGGCCTATTGATCCTTCTGGTATTTTATAGTTAAGTGGAAAAAATCCGGCCGTGTAAAGGGTTTGCGGGGTTCGAACATTTTTACTCAAACAGTGGAACACAAAAAAACTTAAAAAGATAATCCATTTAATCAGGTTACTGGTCAAGCAAGTCATCTTTGGTCTTCAATAACACAGTCAACTTATTTCTTTGTTTTCACTTATTTCTTGACTTATTCAGAACAAAATCAATAAGTATAATGAGAAGAATGATAAAGATGAGCTTGATGAGATTGATGAGATTGATGAGTTTGATGAAGTTGATGAAGATAATGGAAATGGTGAAAGTGATAAAGATGATAAAGGTGATGAAGCTGATGATGTTGTTGATGGTGAATTTGGTGATTTGGGTAATGTTGATGTTGCTGATAGTTCCATGGTTATTGATAGGCACTGTGAATTATTGGAAACTTATTTAAACAAATTAATATTGAACCAAGTAACAGTATTGACAGTATTGTTACCAAATACTGAACTGAAAACTTGAACTCTGTGAATGTACACTTGAATAACCATGTTTCTGGCAGATTTGCGCAAATCACCTCAAATCTTACATTTTTGTATGTTACATTACAATTTGCTTTAGCATTGGTAATGTTTTGGCTCCATCTGATGGTTTAACAGCAATCAATTTAATGACCTTTATTAAGTTGATTTGAATAATGATATCAATCCTTTCTGGTAAAACATTACAATTTGATCAAAACTGTTTCATTTACAAGTTTAAATTATGAAAACGCAAAATTATTTCAATGCTACGCTTGACACGTATATGCAACGTATTTTTTTACGTAAAACAAAGCATATAACTCAACACGCTGATCATGAATCGTTTTTATGTTGCGACGTATTGTTGCTGAAATAACCTGGAAAAAGTGATGAAACATAAAGAAAACAGCTATTTTACTTTACCGAATTACAATTTATTAATGAATTACTGATTCTGAATTACAAAAAGTCTAATTATCCAAAGGATCATTATCAGATCCATACTCGTCTATTTCGGTAAACTTTACGAAATCGATTAGATGTTTTGCTGTTTTGAAGTGTTTTGTTGCTATCCAAGCGTAGCATAATACAAAACTGCGATGATGAATACACTGCTGCTCATAGTTCGCCTGGCTTGTTTCACATCACATCTGACCTTGCATACTTTTCGAGATACGTTAGCAGCTGCTGTGGTAATTTGAGCACGCCCGGGGTACCTTGTGGCATAAAAGGTTTAAAAGCTTGCTGTATCAGAAACGAAAAGCAGCCCCTGAAGCCACGATCTAGAATGAAAAAGTGTCCATCTTCAAAAAGTGCTCACCCCACTGCTGAACTTATCACTCTTTTCATTAATCTCGCATCATTGTCTCTGGCTGAAAATTGGTTACTATGTCGAATGGTTTGAAAAGTGGCCTTTTTTGTGCTCAGTATATGAATTTCTCTGAGCTTCGGTTTTCATTATTTTTTGAATGAAGATGTAAGTTCCTAATGAGCTTAGCATTAGGTACATTCAAGAGATGTTTTGAATAACAATTTTGTGTGCTAAACACAATGTTATGGATTAGCGACTTGCTATGTTTCATTGGATAATTTTTGCAATTTTGGATAATGAAAATTGATCCATTTTAATTTTGCCGTTGAATGATTCCAATTTCATTTGGATTTTCGACTGATTCATTAATCGAGAAATACTAATGTCAATGGACTGTATGCACTGATTTCTTTTATTCTGTTTTCAATTTGTTGATCGCGAACGATTTGTAATCGATAATTCAATGTTTCCTAAAAAACTGGTGATTCAAAATTATGATCATTCTTCAGAAATGAGTAAAACTATGCCGCTCTATCCAAAACAAGCTGTAAAGCTTCTCATGGAACTATAAATATTATGTTTAAATTATAAGTCAATAGACATCAGTATTCCACAATCTCATGCAACGAAGAGTTAGAATGCAAAATGGTTCACTTCTCAGCCTTTACAATTCATTGCCTGACAGAAAAACTTACTCTTAAAAAAATGAATCAAATCACATTTTTATGTTTTGCAGTCACCATCAGATGGAGCCAAAAGCTGCCCAAATTCAAGGCTTAAAACGTGTTGTGATGCAAGTTGAAAAAAATGAGATGTCAGTTCACTTGTGCTAAGCTTTCTCAAAACATGAGTTGGTTAAGTTTTTAAGTTAACCATTTTTTACCGTTAATACCTTCAATTGATTTATATTTTTATAATGTGAGAGTATTTAAGCATTAACCAAATATTTGAATGTAAAGTCGATTAAAAATTGTTTCTAATTTATTTGCTCTTTGGATTACAATTGTGTTTCAATCGTTCAACACTCATATTCCTGTGTCGATCTTTTGCTGTTCAGTGCTTTGTGATTTCTGTTTGAGATCTTTTTACTTGATAATTTTACTTTTGTGTAACAACAATGATTACGCTAATCCACATCAATGGTCCATCATCAAACAATACTTCAAGTTCACCAACAATAGAGTCAGAAGATGAAGGTTTTTCGGAAAATAATCCGTTAACCGGTGTAACAATTAAAGGACCTTCCGGGAGTGTTAGAGGAATTAAACATTGTGTCCGTCAAAGTATCCAAAGTTACTACGAGATTATCACTAATTTGGTGAGTTTTATCAACAGAATGGTCAATGTCAAGTTTCGATTCCAGAAAAGTCAGATTAAGTTTGAAACTCGTTCAATTTTGATCGAACTCAGTTTCCCTTTACGAAGTCTGACAGTCAATCGTCTAGAAACTTGAACCTTGTCACAGCTTTTTTCGAAGTTTTTTCGGCCAATTTTCTTATGTCTTTTGATGTTTTGAGTCCGAGATTTGTTTCGATTTCAATATTTCCATTTTTTCTTTGACACAGGAAACGAAAACTCGAAACTACCAAAAAGAGGAGAAAAACAAATGCGTCCTTTACTCAACGACATTGGGAATTGTTCGGTCAACCTTTGAAAATTGTCGAGTTATGCGCAACATTTTGTACCAAAATTTAATCATGTACGAAGAACGTGATGTTTATATAAACGGAGACTTTAGAGATGAACTTATCGAAAGACTGGGCCAACTTAGGATACCTTCACTATTTGTTGAAGGTAAATATTTAGGGGTAAGTTGGTTGTCACTTAATCTCGTTCGAGCCTAAATTTTACATTTCAATGCGTTGAGTTTTTAAACAAAATGACTTCTTTGAAACAATTCAAATAGTGATTCGTTTTTCTTGCAATTCAATAATCAATGGATAATAGACGATGAGCAGCTTCTACACTGACTCTGTGAAAGTTTTGACATTCAATAGACTCGTTGAGATGTGCATTACAATCAGGATGAAACCATCGAACAAGAAAAGCATGAAAAAATTAATGGAAACCTGAAGATAGCCTCAAGAAATGAACAAATTATATTTTGTAATAAATTGCAAATGAAACACTCCTTTATCAATACAACACATAATAAAGTGTTGAGGGTTTAACAAAAAGGTTAAAGAGTTAAATTTAAGTTTTCTGTCAGTTTTCGATTCGATTCCAAGTTTTCGGTTAAATCATCATGTAAATTTGGGAAACAAAAAGTTTACCCGTAATTAGAGTATCAATTTATGCATTTAATAATAGCGATTGTCGATGTTTAAAAAATTGGGTCAACATTTGGTTGTAAATGAAGTAAAATTGAAGTGAAATTTTTATTGATTGAAAAGGAAGCCATTAATTCATTTTTTCTATATCCATTCGAATCGTCTTTCAATGGCATCGAAAATTGAATTCAATTATTGATGGCGATCAAGTTGGTCTGAGACTCAAAAGATGACCACTTTAACTCAATATTGAACTTGTCGAAACAAAAAATAAAAGTTGCTATTGTTTAATTGTATGGTTAATGGTTGAAAAAAGTTGATAAATATTAATACAAAAATTGTTTCCCTTTTTACTTGTTCACTTGCTTACAGTCCAGTGAAAATGTATTTTTACCGTTACCGTTATAGCGACACAACAATGATGAGGAAGTGCAAAATTAATTGTAAAATCAGTGCTTTACTTGGATGAGAGTGGAATAGGAAAAGGTCAAAATTTTGACAAAACAAAATTGAACAAAACAATGAATTGAATTGTATTGTGGCCGAAAAATCAAGGGCCAAAAAGGTAACAAACTAACGGCGGAAATTACAACTTTACTGTAAACGCTTTTTACCCCAGCAAAGTGATGTTTTTCAATAAAAAAATACTTTTTGTTGTGTTGCTCTTTTAGCGCACTTGACATTCAAAATCAGTTATTGGGTTATTTTGATGAAAAACATTGCTCTTTAAACAATAATCTTAAACACTTTAGACGGAAATGCAACTTGCAGTTAGAACTCGAGATTTTTGTGATTCGCTTGATACTTTTGAAAAGCATTTCCTTAACTTGAAGTGAGATTTTCATGTTGATCAAAGTTTCGATTTTTGAGATTATTGGTTGAAAATAGCGGCATTTTCATCGAAACTTGTTTGATTATCAAATAGCGCCATTTGATGGAAATGATGTTCTTTTGATCATTTTTGATCGATCAATCAACAAGCGAGAAAATTTGATGATTTAATGATAGTTTATGATGATTGATTCTCACTCTTCGCTTTCAAAAATGTTCAGAAATTATATTCGACTATTGAATATCAAATTGCTTTTGTTGTCAAATTGTAATATCGATGGATTTTAAGCATTTCGCGATTTTGCCATTTTCTTTTCAGTTAATCTTGAAACTTTTTCTTTCAGTTTTGCAGTGAAATTTATTCGTCTGAGTTTTGAGCAGTTTTTTTCACTTAATTTGGCAGAATTAAGTGTCTTTAAATAGTTTCGGGTTAAAACTGAAACACTTCACAGTGTTGAACACTTGACCCTGACTGTAATCATGCATGCATAAAACTATGAAAAAGCAGCTCATTTCGTTGACATACAAATAGTCAAATTGATGACACATTTCTCATTAGCACGAAAGAATTTCCATTGAAAATGAACAGTTTTGAGTACCTTTCGACCCTTGAAGTTTTTACCCAACTTTGTCAATAATATTTACAGTAAAATGAACAAATTACCATCTGATGTGAAACGAAAGTTCAGGCATTAAAGAGTAGCCGTTCTCAATGAATATCAAATTAACTCTAAATTTTGCTACTTTTCGCTTTGAAGAAGCAGTTTGTCTGATCAAAAATTAAGACTATCGATTCACTGACCTAAAAGTGACCGTCAACCGGGTAGTGCTTCAATAATTGATTTTATTTTATTCCTTTTCGAGCTTTTTCGGTCAAAAAATTGTTCATTTTTCGCTTGTAAATCAATGCAATTTTTATGCTTCTAAAGCATACAATTCAACATTTGAAATGTTTTAGTTTGAAGAAATGAATTAAACTTGCAATTTTAAGCTTCAATGATAATCTTGAGCATCATATCGTTGGCATCATTTGTGTATCAAATAGTTTTATCAATGTTGACTTGATCTTATTTGCTTTGATCATAATGTTCATATTTGAATAATTGCTCTTGTAATTGCATCTGATTCACAGCCTTTCACTGAAATGAAACTCCTAATCGTTCGTTTGTCCAGATTGATAATGAAAGTTGATTACATTTGGGCAATTCTTTTGTTTCCCATTTAAAGGAGAGAAACGGTTTAACCCTTTTCCATTTATTACAACCTTTTTGTTTCTTTACCTCATAATTAGTCTAATAATTTTAATTTAACTTTATTCGCATCTTTCCACTTTCCAACTTTATTCTCAGGTAATATTTATGGAATATAACAATAAAGTAAATTAAGGTGATGATAAGGTTGATGAGGATACGTAAGACGATAATGAGTATTTTAAGGTATCAAAGTGAGAAGTTGATTGTGTGCCCTTGATGCCGTTACAGTTAATTGAGGTCACACAGGTAACAAATGTTAACTTCATGTTGATGATTATATCAATTTTTTTGTTGTTGTTGTTGATGAGATGTTGATGTTGATGATGAAGTTGATTACTTTGTACATAATGGACTGCAAAGGCTAACAAATTGATGATATATATGACTTGAAATTGACTCATCAATAAACTGACCTGAAAGATTTATTAGAACTGACAGCTTGTATTAGAGTCCAAAAAAAGCACCATTGATTACAATTTTTTCATCCTTTTATCTTGAGCTTTATCATTTTTTGCTCTTTTTATTTTGTTGCACTCATGTTCATCTAATCCACTTTTCATCACCAAGTAAATCTCAGGCCAAGCAAGTTCAATCCTCCAACCTAAACAAGTGACTCTGGCTGCATCAACTTTACCATATAATCAGCCTTTTCGCAAGTAACATTTAGCTTCTTGCTCTTCACCTTCATCTTCATTTTCATAATTTAAATTTTCATAATTTTCGAAGTCAGTCGAATCTTGTTAGGCAGAGCAACTTCAATCCTTCAACCTAAACAAGTGACTCGGGCCGGATCAAGTTTACCATGCAATGCGACCCTTTTCACGTAAAATTTTTCACATTTTTTCACTTCTTTCTCATCTTTTCATTATTAAAATTGTCATGATTTCAAAGTCAGCAAATTTTGTTAGGCCAAAGACTCCAACTTTTCAACCTAAGCAAGTCACTTTTCCCATCAAATGTTACACACAATGGAGCCTATTTTTAGTGCATTTTCATCTTCAATTGATCATCATAATAATCAACATTTTTTCTGCCTTTTCATTTATTTTTTTTGTTGTCTTTCAACTCTTTCATCTCTAATCACCTGTAAATCAATTAAGTGTTGAACAATTTTGCTCAAGTAAACCCATTCAATGTAATCACCTAACCTCTATTAACACAATTTCATGAAAGAGTATAAACAAGTTTTTGGCCAGAAATTTTCTAGTGAACAAGATGAAATCTTGGAAAACATTGAAAATCAATATCACAATCAAGTTTACCTTAATCTTAATTGCTACATTAGATGAAAAATAAAGATTTTCATTTTAAATTGAAGTCCAAGTTGAACCAATTCACCTTAAAATTGTTTCACTTTAACCATCTTTAGTCCTACCAAGTTGACCATTTAAAAAATGTTAATAAACTTAATTTCCATTTCACCCAAAAATTTAAATTCATATTTTTATTAACATTGATTAACACTGATTAGCCAAAAATCAAAGATTAAATCAATTGAGCCAAACGGACGTTTAGCCTGAACGTTGTCTTGATGTAAAGCAAAGTGACCTAAAAATGGGCAACTTTTGCTTCTTTTTTTAAAAACCTTAATAATATTATTATTACTTATTATTATACAAATATAATGACTTAAAATAAACTGGAAATGAGTTGAAAAAAAGTTTGCACAAATACAGTTATAATAATAAATTGTGAGGCTAAAAACTTGAAAAACTGTGCTTTATTTTGGCTCACAACTCTTGATCAAATCAACTGATTACTTAATGACTAAACTTGATTAATATCGAACTCTATCAACGTTAAATTAACTTTAAATAATAAGCCGAGTCCTGTTTTAATTGATGTATCAGTGAAACAACATTTTACCGGCAATAAATTGTGAGCATAACATTAAGATCCTGTTTCAATTGGAATCAGTTAACAAAGTAATGATTTTCGTTGATGGGTCAAGACTAACAATTAATGATTTACAAATGTTTCATTTACATTTTCATTGCTTTTTAATTGTTGATTGTTGCTTTTATTAATTTGTTTCCATTGATTATCTTGCAGGGCGTTGAACTGGTTGAGAAGCTCAACGAATCTGGTAAATTGTTGGAAATTTTGGAAAGCTACAAGATTCCGGCCTCGGCTTCGGCTCGATACTTTCAAGTTTGCCCTTGTTGTGGCAATGCTCGCTTCATCCCGTGCAACACCTGTAATGGATCCAAGAAATCGTTGATTCACCATTTCACTTCGGATTCAATTACATTGCGCTGTTCTCAATGTAATGCCACTGGTTTGGTTAAGTGTCCAAAATGCGATCCAAAAGGCACATAACATTGAACCGATTCTAATCACTAATCATAATTCATCGTCATCTTCATTTGATTAAAATTCATACTTTTCGCTGTTCCTTTACAATTCAATTTCCTATTCAAAATGGTTTACTCGACAAATTGACACTTATATCGATGGATTGGACCACATTTTTGCCGTAAAAGTAAACCAAAGAAGCCTTCATCTTGTACATTCAATAATTTGATATCAATTAGAAATATGATTTATAAATTGCTATTATTATTAAATCTGTTTTGTTTGTCTGTTAATTATAATATTGATTTTTCATGTAAAAACGCGGTTTCAAATTGTTACATTTAGTGTGTTGAGGGAAACCAAAAGCGAACCAAACACAGCTCATCTCGACTTGTAGGCACTGATTATGATGTTTAACAGCTTTTTTGGTTTGCTTTTTATTTCAATAAAAGATCGCTTCTGGAACGTGATTTAAACCAATTTGTTGGTTCCACTTGAGTTAAAAATAAACCAATAATGTGATTAAATAATGATAATTAGAGAGTTGATTTTTGAAAGCAAATTGTTAGGAAGCAACATTTTTTTACGCTTTTCCGGATAAAAAATTGTCTTAATCTTTAATCTTGGATCAGTAATGTTTAGCTAAGGTTAACCTTGAAATTTAAAGGCTTAATCGTTTTTGGCTGGATAAATGATTACATTATAAACCATCACAATATATAATAATAATAGTAATGACAATAATTTACGGTAATAATGATTGGGGCAAAAAAAACGCCAGCTTCTGAAGTTTATTGAACTGTTGATGAAAAGCGTTTGTTTTTTGCGCTTCTTTTACCTCGACGCTTCTTAATGGCTAATGGTGAATCCATCTGGTTGTTAAGGTTACTCAAAATTTAAGCAAAAAATCGGTTTTTTGTATCGACCTTTTGAACATCATTATTATTCGTTGGAATCGACTTCATTAATTTCATTATTTTAATTTGGATGCTTTCATTTGCTCTCTCATCTCACCTTGGTTTGCCTTCGTGCAAGGTTATCATGGGGTCAACCCCCAAAAAAAGCAAAATCTTGCTTCATTTTTTTCTGTTTTGCTGTTTACCTTTTTTTCAGTGCTTCTACTTTTTTTTCATTTGCTATATTTTACCTGTTCAACAATACAGGTTATCAATTTGAGTTATGCATCGGTGTTTTTTGGGTGATTTTCAAGGTTGTCAGGTTCATCATCTTTATCGCATCTATCCTGTTGATATTATGGTTGTGTGCATCTGTTGAGACAGTTTATACAACCTTTCTTGTCTTTTGGTTGGCGTTTTTTTTTGTTTGTCTTCTTCTTTTGGTGTCTCTTTATTTGTGTATTTGCATTTCGCTCATTGCTTTGCCTAACAAGTGCCAATAAGAGTATTTGTGTGTCTGCCATTTATGAATGAGTTTTGTGTGCTTTGTTGGTAATTAACTTGATGGTTAAATGCTTTTTTGGTGACTTGGCTTTGCTAAGCTCAAGTACTTGGCGTAACCTTGTTGATAGGTTAAACCAATTCTTCCTTAATTTAACATTCAATTGTTATTATTCAAATTTTGACTCTAAAAATGATTATCAGTCAAGAGTGAGGATCAATAATTAGTAAATTTTTCCATTTCCTTGCAGGTTTTCGAGGTACTATGGTTTAATACACAGAATTTCAATGCTTCAACTTGCTGGTGACTCTTAAAGGACCTTTTTCATTTTGCTCTCACTTCATTGCCAATGATTAGGTTCATTTGTTGTTTATTACATTATTGTGATGAACAGTTAAAATTGAATCAACGCTTTTTTATTGTTTATGGGGAGGAAGAAGACAATGACAATTAACATCATCCTTTATTACAGTTGAAGTCTCAAAGAATTGAAGGTGATTTGATTTTAAAACAATTGATTCGCAATACAAGTTGAGATAAAGGATAAAGGCCAAAAAAGATGAGAAATTGGAAAATATCAAAATTTATTGTTGTAAATTGATTGATTATAATTTAATGGCTGGTTCCAACAAAAAGCAGTGTTAACACAGATTGTTGATTAAAAAGACCATCAAATTTAGTGAAAATTTTAAGCAATTTTTGGCTAGTTAAGGTGCTTTTGATAAAGGTGAAAAAAGCTGAAAAGCTGAAAAGTAAAAGTCAAATGCGCTATTCGATGCAATGTTGCACCGTTAATAATATTGTAATACAACAATCAAATAGATGACAATCATTATCATCCAATGGAACCAAACAGTTACATCCTTTGACATTATAGTCTTGCAAGACTGTTGATTGTTTAAAATTGTAAAAGTAAACAAAATTATAATCATGAAATAAGTGAATCTAAACTGTAATAATAACTATAATAATGATAATCAAAGACTTAATAATGGTAATAGTGTTAACATTTGAAAAGGTTTGTACGATTATTTATGCTAACTAAAACTTGTAGACTTAAGTCTGTAATACAGTTGCGTATAAATGGTTGAGTTAATTTCATTTCAACAAACATTGACTATCATTAACTATTAATTGAACAATTTAAAAGACATTATTTAACACTTTGCAAGAATATAATTATTAATAAACTATAAGGTAGATGAGAAAGCAAAGAGCGATTTCACTTTTCAAATACTTTGTGTCAATTGATTCAGTAAATCAATCTGAATCTGAGTAAACTTTTTTTGATTACAATTTGAATAAAGTCGATAAGGGCTCATTTTGGACTGATTGAACGATTATCTAGCGAGGAAAAATTTTAAAGTTGAATAATCTATTCTGATTCTGATTGAGCGGTTAGATATTATTGTTATATCTCAAGTAATCCTTGGTTTAAACAGATACTATTAAAATTTAAATTTAAATGATGATTATGATGGTAAGCTAATGACTCTAATCATAATTGAGAGTAGATTGATTTGTGGTGAAAGACGAAAAATGATCTTGGCTTGTGTTTAGATTATTGTCAGTTGTGAGACTGTCATGTTGGGATACCTTAATCATTAGTAATGATTGGAAACATTTGATAATTATATTTGATTGAGCGATCATCAATAAATTGCCAGTGATGATGGTGTGATGATGGAGAAAATTGTTAAAGTTGATCGTAAATTGATTGTTCAAACATTGTTCACTACTGAAAATTGAAAAGTAAATGAGAAATTAATCACTTGTTTCATTTTCTTATCGATAAATAATGTTATTAAAATAGATTAATAATAATGATACAGAGAGGAAAAGAAAAGTAAAAAATGTTTGATTGTCAAATAATGTTACTTTCTCATTTATCCTATGAAAACAATTGAAATGATGGTTTGATTAACTCTAATAATTGTGATATTCATAGGGTCGTTTGTATTCCTCGTAATAACTGGGTTTAGATGAGTAAGATGAATATGGCTTGTATCCATAGCTTGGAGCATAAGAAGGTGTCAGATATGCTGGTGCGGCATAAACTGGTGCTGGTGAGGGCGAACTTGTTGCTGGTGGTTCCTTTGAGTACATTTTAACATCAGCAGGATCTGAGTTGGCTGTTCCTGGTTCATTTGTGGTTACGGTTGCTCTAAACCCATAATCATCGGCAATATAATCTACTTTACGGTAAACTCCATAAGCATCAGTGTAACCGTAGGAGCCTCGCTTATTACCATGCTCATCACCTGAAACAGAAAGCAAAAATCATTTAGGAATCAACCAAGAAAATAATATATTTTTTCAACTCTTACCTTCTTCCATACGGTGATTGTTGTTTCCATAACCATCATCAATATCATAGCCGAAACTGTAAGGGTAACCATTGTTTTCCTGGTTTTAAGTGTAACATAAGTGAAACAAAAAGTTTAGACAAAAGAGATTACATTAAGTTCATAGTTGTTGAATTAGTGAGAAACAAGGAAAGAAAGACAATTGTCATCACAATCATTAATCATGGATGATTTAACACTAACAACAGGTTATTATTACTCGTTAACATAAGCTTTCACATTGTCAAAAAATGAATATCATGGGTAAAAGAACTGGGTTAAATGATTTTTACAAAGAAACGGTTTTACGAGGTTAATATCCCTTTCTTCATTTGAAAACAAAGAGACTAAACCTTTCTTATCTAATTAATCCTTTTTTCTTCGTAAGATGGCGATGCTGGACAAACAATCAATTAAACATGTTTATTATAAAACAAAAATACTCAATGTAAGTAAAATTGTGATTTATTCATTTAGTTAACTGATTTGTTTCTCTTTTTACTCACATAGGTTGGCTCGGAATAAGATTGCTTATGATGAGTGTATGATGGAGTAGGGATTGCATAGGAATCCTTTGGAGTTGGTGAATACTTAGGTGCAGGAGTATAGCCATAGTAAGCTGGTGAAGCTGTTACTATAGTTATCAAGGTAATTCCGATGAGTTCCTGTTGTAATTAAAAGGAAAAGAATAAAATATCAAATTAATCCAAGATGTTTTTGGTGGTAGAAGCTGCGATGTTAAAGGACAAATTGAAGAAACCAAAAACTAATCACTGTAAGTCATCAAAAAGTCGTTGAAACTTATGGTCATTATTTTCAATATTACCTTGAGCATGATGGTGATAGTTTGATAAACAGTGATTAATGGGACACAAAACAGGAAAATAGACGTATTTGGTGGATCACAATGGTGTTAACGTAAACTAGGAATACTCGTTGGTTGCTGACTTGATGGTCAATGAAATTCAGTGGTGATGATGGTTGTTAAAACAGCAAAATGGTAACGGAAGGAAGAAGGAAGTAATACTTCGTACTACGTGAAAAAAACGAAACTGATCGACAACTGTCCAGTTAGAGAGTTGAATGTGGTGCTTATATAGTGATGGACATTGCATGATGAAGGAAACCTCCTTACCTGGTGAGGACTCCTCCAGAGTCATGATGATGAAAAAAAACAACACAGTAGAGGGGAAAGTTTTTGGATGAAAGTTGAATTGCGATTATAAGAAAGCATTTTAAGCCAGGCAAAGGAGGAGACTCGAGATATGCTGAATATTTTGATTATGATGATGAAACAGATGAAGAAAGTGAAAAGGTCAGAATGAGGTCATGTGTGAGTGAAAGTATTGGATTATCTTGATTTTCCAATGAAATTCGGTTAATTTCATTTTAACACTTTCCATTCAAATGAAGGGCAACTTCAATTTCAATCAATATTTTGACATTTAAACAACTTTTACTTTTTTTCTCTTTTCTTTTCATCAATTTCTAGATTTAATTGGAAAACTTCACAATTTATCGACTATTGATGGTTATTATTTTGGGGGGTGATTAATTGATAATGGTTGGTTGACCTGTGTCCAATTTGGTTCTTTACCTTGCTTCCAATCCAAAACAATTACCAATCAATTTGGATAATATTTGATTTACTGGTTCCATTATTTTAAACACTCAAGCCTATGTTGTTGTTGATGTTGGACAATTGAAAGTTAATTGTTGACAATAGTAGGCACAGCAGGAATAAGCTGAATTAAGTGAATCAATTCGTGGTCAAGTACAGGTGAGAATTGATAAAAAAGCTTTAAAAATGACAATACATTTAATTTTCATTCCTTTCATTTCTAATATTGAATTTTGCTCTTTTACAGACTTTAATTGTTACCAGGACAATATGAATTATCAAATTCAAGTTTAATTCAATATTTTCAGTTGACTGTCTTTTAACAGTTTCATTCAAGTTTCATTTAATCCAATCAATTTTGCTGTTTGCCTGTAAAGCCACAGATAAGCGTAATTGTGCGAAAATGAAACGATTTGAATGTTTAAACGAGTTAACTGTATTATAAGTGTTGATTCATTGAACAATTGTTTAATTGTATCACAAGCTGATAATGAATTGATTGAATGTTTAATTTACTTGTTTTAGGTAACAGACAATGAAGTTGAAGAGTAAAGCAAAATTTGATTAACTCTTTACATCTTAACCAGACTTCCTTAATAGCGTTAATCATACTATTAATATAATGTCATTAATGCTAATAATTATGTTGGAAATTGAATAGGAAATGATGATAATAGTTAATTAAATGACTACTAATATGAAAAAATATGATGACAATGAAGCATAAAATTGTCTCAATCAAATTATCTTTCAATTTACGACTCTTTTAACATCAATTTATTTGTTACAACTGTTGATATTTAATTTTTGATCAATTTTCACTATTGATGCAAAATTACAAATTATTGTAATAAATTCAAATTAGATGAAATGAAATTTTCATTAGAAAAAAATATCTTTTCATGTTTTCTAATTGAATTTTTAATCAACCATAAAGTTGAATTAATAGAGTTTAAAGAGCAACAATTGTTATTGAGTTATAAATTGAAATGATTAACTTTTCAATTGACCTTATAATCAACAGTTTGGACAAATAACTGATCAATGATTTGAACCATTTTGTGTATTGATTGGTTTATCATAAATCACTTAACATAAGAAAATTTAATTTTCAATTAAAGGTGAGTTGAATTTGGTCCAATCAAGAGTTGAATTGTAATCGATATTTAAAAGTAATTTCAAATTTTCTTCTTATTTTCATCTAAACAGATTAATCAAAGTTCAGAGTCAATCATTGATATCAATATTAACCATTTGCAGATTCATCTATGATAATGATATAATAATCAATGATTTCCTGGATGGTAAAGAAATCGCAATCAAAAGGAAAAAATGGAAGTAAATTCAAGTGAAAACATTAAGTAAACTGTTACAATTGAAATTAAGGAATAACATTTGATTGGAAAATTTGACGCATCACTATCAACACCATCCTGATGATCGTTATAATCATCATCATCAGGCAAACTGTTTCACCCTTACCAATCTCAACATGAGTTTAATCGATTCAATCGTCATTTCTTGGTGAAAAAAAACACCATAACCATTTCATCGGTTTACATTTTTTCCTTGCTCTTGCTGCTTCTTCCTAAACCAGTTTAAATCATAATGAGATGCTTAACCTGTTGATCGGTTCGCAGTTATGGAACGAGCAAAGTAAATGTACCAATGCAATTCAATTCACACCTACCCAATCAAGCAATCAACAGGCAATGTTAACCAGTGAAACAAATTGATCAACTGTAATCATCACTTTATATCCATTACTTTTGGTTTATACATATTGGAGCAACATTATAAATCTCACTCAAAGTTATCCACTAATTGTATGGCAATCATCGACAAACATCATTACCAATGTTGTCAAACTGGCCTCACTAATTTACCTCAAAAGTTAATCAAAACAGAGAGCAATCATTGACAGGATCAAGAGTGGCTTTGATGGTTAATGGTCAATAATTATGCTTATTGTTTAATCATATGCTTTATCCTCTAATTGTAATCTCAAGCTCATTTTCAACAGATTTTAGTGTCTTCCAAGTCTCAGGTTTGACAAAATGTGTTTACTTTGTCAAATGGTTAATGATTTGGTTAACTAAACTGTTGGTTTTTAATTTTATTGGTGTTAGCATTTTTTGCTGTTGTCTCATCATTAACTCGAAAATTAACTCATAATTATTTAATATGGTAGCCTCTCAAATTCAACTGTATTTCAACCTCTTTTTACACTTTTTTGTTTCATCTCATTGTGTTACACTTGTTTTACTCGGCCTTACAAGACTTGTTTAATAAATGTATTTATATTTGTTTTTCATTTCGTTTTTTTTGATTGTTTTATAATGTTTTGTGCGTAATTAGATGCATTTTAATTGTCAACTTAATTGTAGGCTCTAAGTTACCCTTAAGATCATCCGGTTATCATAAGAAGGAAGAAAAAGTAACAGCAAAATGTCAGGCAAACTCTTGACAAACAACATCTTTTAATCACCATCAGAGTTGGAACTGCCTTTTACAATTGATTTGGGTCCATCTTAATATCTCAATGTTGATTAGATTGATTGTTATTCATTGTTGTTCCATTTAGTCTCAAGGTAACTTCATTAAACAATAACAATACAGTATTGTAATCAACGTTTTGCGAACTACAAATTTTCAATTGCTTTTATTGATTTCTAATTGTTAGAAGTCATACTTACAATAATATTATGATTATGTTAATCCATTGTTTTTCATTGATTCACTAACCTGAGTCAACTTTAGTTTCACTGTGATTACTGGTTTGTCTGATCATTGTTATCTTTTAAATCACAATTAGTTTCTTAAGATTCAAGATTAATTAACGCTACTGTTCATTTAAGTGGTTGGATTAATGGCAACATGGAAACATTGGTAAACTGATTGGTAATGTGTAGGTTGATTAAGATTTAAAAGGTAGACTTACAGATAGAATACATTTTCAATATTTCATGCAAATCTATTGTTGACTTTCAATGTGTTCAATAATTAATCATGTCTAAACGGATTAACTCGGTAAATTCAGGTTATTAAGATTAATCTTTTTACTCTGACTCTAACACTCATTTGACTTATTAGACTCATGATGGTTTTATATCTCGAATTGTCATTGAATTTCGTATTTCTTTCTCGATTAATTGTAACAATAAAAAGTAGCTGATTATAATGGCAAACAAATCACTCTGCTTTATTGTAGTTAAGTTCATGTGTTGTTTTTTCATCAGAAATTACATAAATCTAATTTTGTTTTTTGAGCATATTTTAATTTTAACTCTTTGATTATTTAGGTTTGTTTTAGTAAAATAAGCTCAACAAATCATTTGTTTTTTGGTTTACAGTCAATTGCAAATTAAACTCAATTCAAAAATTGGGTTCTTCTTTGTCTATTAATTGCAGGGAAATGAGGATGACTTATATCTGTGACCAAAAGGATTCAAAATGGGACAACGGGATTGATTGGAATGATAATTAAGGAATTGGTAACAAAAAAAATGTTTAACAGTTGAATATAATGCATTTAGTTTCTCTCACAATGAATCAACCCATTGAAACAATTGATTGCAGTTTGATATATTAGACTTGCACTTTTTTTACACATGAGAATATATTTATAAATGAATATTTTGTGTTCCTCTTTTTTTTGTCTAATTGATTTAAACTAAGTGTTCTAGTCGGCAATGATTCAATGGGTTACATTCGTTGTTAACAATTGATTATGAATAAACATTATTACACTTTGAACAATACACAGATATTATCATTAAGCTAGTCAATAACGATAATATTCTGGTATTAATAATATCAGTAATAACTATATTGTGCAGTTGCTTTCATTGATCCATTCATCAACAATTGGTTAAATTGTTTTTTTGGTGCCATTTACACCTTGTGTGCCTTGAAAATTTCATCAGGAAATCATTTTGGAAAATTAAATTTTCAAATAAGAATGTATCACTAATACGTTAATTTGTTGATTATGATTAATTTGTTTCTTCTTTTCGTTAATTCCTTCAACAGGGAGTAAGAAGAGTCATGGGATCTCTTGAATTGGGTAAACCTTGAGAGTCTAGTTCACGGGAATAGGCAAATCTTTCTGGAGCTCGGAAAAATTCAAGCTGCATTTCTGAATCAGATCCTTCGAGTGACATTGCCTTCCGAATTGGGAACCAAGTCCAATCATTTTTCTCCATCAACTTGTAAACATAGGTTTCAGGTCCAGTAAATTCAGTCTTAGGCTTTGTTCGTAAGAGTATCATAAAATACAGATAATGCCACATATGATGTTCTCGAGCAATGTGACTTTCAAACGAGACACCGGCTCGGTTGTCAAAATCAGCTCGAGGAAGGCCACAAATGAAACAAGTGTTTCTCAAAATGTCTTCCTTCTTTTGCTTCTCTTGTCTGAGATCTGCAAAAGTGTCAATGATAATACCAAAGAACAGGTTAAGAACGATAACATTGATAAAGAAATAGAAGAATAATTCATAGATGACTCTTCCATAATATAGGCTCTCTTCTGAAGAAGCCGATCGTAAAACATCTCCAATTCCACCACCTGAACGTAAACCATAGTTGATTGTGGTGATGAGACATTGGAATAGAGTTTTACATGAGTATTCAGTTGCTGAAGTGTCTTCAACCGTATCTTGAGGAACATATTCCCGACGAAAGTCAAGATTGAAGTAAAGATAACCAAAAACGGCTGCAATGTGTATCAAGATGAGAGCTAAAAGACAGGTGAGAAGAAGTGACTTTGAATTTCGTGTTACAGAACGGATAACATTGCGAAGTGTCTCCTCTTGGTAAATGACATGAAGTAAGAGAGCAGAATAAAAGAGTGGATGAAATAAGCCAAGAGTACAAAATGCAAGGTAAACACAATGATAAATCATTTCATAGTCCATTAATATCATACGCCAACCTCGTCTATAACCACGATTGATGATGAAACTGAATAGATAGACAACAGTGATAATAATGTCTAATATGCCACAAATGTAAATCACAGATTGAGGTCCAGTGGTATGAATTAAAAGCCATGTAGTGAGGACAACAGTTAACCGAAATGTTCCGTCAAATACTAAATCAAGGGATCTTTTATGAGTACCAAAAAGATACAACCAAAGACCGACAACCAGACAAGCTAAATAGGAACGATAATCAAGTTCAATTGGAGTTTCACCAAAAGGATAGTAACAGATAACTATTATGTTTAATAAAACGGCCAATTGGAATGAAAGAGAGCCCCATTTGGACATGTATCGTGATATAGCATGAGAAAGACGTTTTGTAGACTGTAAGTCACGTTGCCATTCCATTTCTGCTTGAAGATTATCAACTTGGCGGAAAAAGTCGGGGACTTTTGAACGTGCCTTTTCGTCCATTTCTGTGCGATGAAGAACCTTTTTCTTTGTTTCTTCAGTTAGGAAATGACATTGTTCCGGGACTGCGAAAACAATGAATTCAACACGCTGTTCTGGACTATCACGACGAACAACTTCAACTTGAGCAGTTTTCTTTTGAAAGAAAGCAATAGCATCGCGACAATCCTCCTGTTGCTGTTCATGATTGATTTGCTCATTCAACTCAACCGAATATCTTTGGCATTGGTGGCATAAAATGTAAATATTGTGGCCAACTTCAATTTCCTTGACCTCTTCAGATTCCTCGCCGTCTTTGAGAGCTGATGGGTTACCACGATGTGCTTCCGTCTCCATATATTTTTTATACTTTTGATAGATCTCACAAGAGTGATGAATGAGATTAGCGCTTACAATTTTGGCTACAATCTCGGCAAAATCAATATCTGACCTGGACTCTATAATAGCCAAGAGCAATTTTGAGGCGTTAATCTTTAGTGAGCGAACATCTTCCATGTATTTGCTATCAAGTTCAGCCCGATTTTTTATCAACTCAATGATAAATTCAATTCCATTGCTTTCACATTTAGCTATGCAGTTTTGATTCTCATGACATGGACCTTGACAGTATTCAATTAGCGTTTTGACCGTTTGATTGAACAATCCAACATTTTCTTCATTCAGATAATTACCATCAATTGTTTTAGTCTTGTGAGAGCCACATAGTTTGATTAGGAACTTAAATGTTTCTGCAACCAGATTTTGATCCTTCTTTTTATCATTTCGAAGTAAATCTTGCATTTCTCTATAATGATTTTCACATAAAAGCCTAAGAAATTCAAGAATTTCTTCCATGATGGTTACTTCAGGAGGAAGCTTAGACTTTTTACAAGGAGCCAATTGGTGGCTTATCATAGCTGCAAATGTATTTGGAGTAATACTTCCACTTCCATGAGACTCAGTTCGCAAGTTAAGAAAGTCTTCATCTTGAAAACTGGGTTCCACGAAAGTTCCTAAAGGTTTGTTGGATAAAACTTTATATCCTGATTCTGTAGCAGCAATTGCGCTATTTAACTGATTCTCTTTGTCCTCTGTGACTTTGCCAGAATTCAAAATGTTTGCAACAGCTCGAGGGGAAGGTGAAACAGAAGGAAGAGGAGGTGGCATAGGAAATTCCGTCACAGGAGTAGCGTCGCGTTCAAGTAATGTTTTGCTCGGTGTTGAAGGGCTTTTGGCAAAAAGTTGACTTTTGAAGCCAGTTTTGTATGCCTTTTGAGCTATGACCATGCGATCGTAAAAATTTTTTATGAACTTTTCAGATCCATTTTGTATTTCCTTGTAGAAACTCTTCTGAATATTTTCATTACCATCATTAAGAAGTGCTTTACCAAACTTAATGGCATATATAAAGATGTTTTCATTTGGATTTCTCATTATAATTTCAACAACAATTTTAGGAGCGCCCAGAGCATTCAATTCATTTTGTATAAAACGTAAGTCTTTAGAGCTTCGTGAATTTTGAGATGGTAATGATGATGATGATGTTGGATATGGTTTGTTATCTTGATTGCTATTTGTTGTTGAATTGTTGTTAGCCGGTCCAAAGTAGCGCTCTTTAAGTTGCAGTCTTAAACTTTCAGCCTAAAATCAGGTAAAAGAGAAAAGAGTAAATATTAAATAATGTTTTTGATACAAAGTATGATAAATGATAAACGAATTGTACTTATAAATAAATAAAAATATTTTGAGATAATAAAATGAACCATTAAAAGTCTTTATGTTTTTTCAAATTAAAGTTCAAGATGAAATAAGAAACAAAAGTAAATGAAAATTGAAGTTTATCATGCAATTTTTTCGTTAACGAGACAATTTTTTTACAAAACTAATCAGTATTGTATTAACAAGATTTACCTTGGCTTCAAGGCTGAGCTCGTATTCAGTAGGCTCAGGAAGCTCCTTGAAAAAATTGGTCAGCATTATTAGTAAAAGTAGAAGGAAAATCAAGTGAAATGGTAAGTTGATTTAATTACTTGTCATTAGTGAGATATCAAGATAGTGTAGCAATTAAGGAATGATTTTAGAGATAGATTGAAAAGATGGAAGACAAATGAATGTGTAACAATATTTACCTGATTCGTTTTATCATCAATGACAAGCTCTGTTAAAATTTGTAATGTCTGTATGATGACTTTTTCATCAGTTTTAATTTGTTCTTTGGTTCCATACATAACAAGAGCTAAGATATGTTGAATAAGATGACTAATGAAAAGGCCTGAGAACAGTTTATGGTGCATTTGAGTATCAATAGGAAATAGAGCCGCAGGTTGATAGAAGACATCAATCAATACGGATAATTCAGCTTTAATTTTAGGCTCTAACTCGGTTCTTTGTTCATCTATTAAATTTTTCCAATTTGATTGAACAATGTCATCTTTCAGAGATGAAGATAAAGGTAGATTGAATTGATCACTTGTTTCCTGCTGTTGTTGATAATGTTGCTGGGACAATAATGGTAGATCATTTGATGAAGAAGATGTTGATTCAGTTCCATTTAATTGAAGACGAGGCGGTCGCTTTCGAGCTGGAGGTGTCGGTGGAGTTTTTGTTTCATCATTAGTTGATATCGATTGATTGGTTTTGTCATTAGGTGCTGAACTTATTTGAACCTTTGGAGGTTCTTTCGATAAATTAGCTCGCTGTTGATCAGACTCGGAATGAGATGTTTCTCGAGCTAAATAAGGAGACAAGAAAATGATTAATGTTTTGTCAAGTAAAATTGAAGTCTCAATCAAAAATGGTTATTAAGATCAAAGACTTGCCTAATTTTTTCTGCCAAGCAGATGCAAATTTAGCAACATCTACATTTAAAGATGCACTTCTATCGCCTAATTTAGATAATATTTCCATGGTTTCACGAATTTCTTTCTTCAACTTTTGCTCAATATTCTCCGGCACAACGAATCTTTGATTAACTAATTCTCCCAAGTTTTTGATGGTTTCTGCTGACTGTGAAAAAGTGTATAAAATAAAAAAGGAAATGGAAAGACATTATTTTTCATAAATGTAAGAAATTAATCTTAATAACATAAACTTTGCGTTAAATTGTGCAAATTAACTTACACTTGCAGCATTTGATGAAGTTATAAAAGCTCTAATCATGTAAAGAAATCCACGAGAAAAGTAAGAAGTCCACTCATGATCCAACGTTGATTTGGGTTCAGTTACTTCGGTCAATGTTTTCCTAATATCATCAATTAAATTACCAATCAATTTGGACATTTTAGATGAACGGCTAATCTCTTCTTGGTGAATTTCCGTCTCAATATACGAGTTGGTCAACAATCGACAATAAGCTTCTTTAACTCGCGGTGTACAATTGTTGTCCTCAATGATGTGAGCAATATAATCAAATGGACATAATCCAGCACAATCTTTCTCATTGTTTTTGTTTTTACCCTCTGTACAGGCAGCCAATAAGTCTATTAGTTTAATGTGAAACCATAATTCACCTTCTTTATCCGCTTTCGTAGACATCATTGATCTCATTAATTCTCGTATTTTTTCACCTCCATCCCAGTCAAAAATGTCCTCCTTGTGAAATTTGAGTTCATTCAAAATTTTGGCTTGCACATTGGGCAAAGCTTTTCCTTCAGATTTAACAATGGTTAACAGGAAATCAAGGAAATATGTTTTTTTGCCTTGAGAAATAATAAAATTGACACATTTTCTAATTGCCTCTTCGTTAATTTCATTGCACAGTTTCTCATTGTTAACGAAAATGCTCATTAAAGTTTGCATCTCAAGTTTCTGTGGAGGTAAAAAACAATGTAAGAAAAAGGTTATTATTTTGTGAAAGCAACAGGAAAGAAAGGAAAAGGAGAGAAACAGGATTGAACAATTATATAAACATGATATGGTAAAGATTAAAGGAAACAAAATTTATTCTCATCAACGAGTTAATTTGATTACCTCTGGCTTGAGAAATCTTTCATAGTGTTCATAAAGCTCCTCTTGATTGGTTGGATTATTGAAACAAAAGTCTTGTAAGAGTTCATGTGTTCGTTCAAAGATTTTCTTTATGTGATGATCATTCTGTTTAAGGGTTGAGAGAGAAAAGGGAGAAAAACAAAAAGTAAATTAGATTGAAAAATGGATAAAGTTAAGGGAAAGGAAAAGTTATGTCATCAAATATGTAATAATTAATACATATTATGATAATGGTGGTGTTGATAGTGGTGGAAAAATGATGATGGAATCAGAAAGAGAGAGAGAGAGAAAATTCTAGTAAATAGCTTTTTCTTTCCTCTCTTTTTCAGCTCTAATTACCTCGTCATAATTAATTGACAACAAATCGACTAGAATCTTTACCAATCCTCTTGATTGGAGTAGACTTTGCTCTAATTTCTTGGCTTTATTGGTTGATCTATCACGGCAACAGTAAGATAGAGTTCGCAGAATTATGTCAACCCGATTATACCTTTTTATCTGTTCGTCTTTAATATCGATTTGGAGAAGTGAATTTGATTTGCTTGAACCAATCAGTAAAGGATAATTGGGTATTCCGGAAGGAGGTGACGGTAAATCGCGATCTTCATCACGCAAACCAGACTTTATTTTATCTTCATCGTCTCTTTTTGATTTGGTGTAAACCCAAGTTTCCGATTCTTCAACGTATTCCTTCAAAATTTCCAAAGCTTTGCGAAAATATTCATAAATTTGAACATCCTCTTTTTTAATCAACAATTGCACTTGCCGCAAAGCATTGAGAAACTCTTTTCTTTGTTTAAATTCCCTTATCAACAATTTCATTGCTCCAGACACTAATGAGTATGCCATGGAGTTAATGATGAAACTTAATAATATTTTCACTGATATGAAACCCATTGATCCATCAAGGTTAGTCTTTGAATCTTCAAATATAGCTTCAACATCTTCGGAGGATATTTTCAACGGTGTAGACAAGTTTTGGCTTTGATCCTTAAAATGGACCAAAATATATGTTATCCGATAGTCCAGTCTTATGTCATAAATAAAATTTAATATCTCTATGATGTTTAACCTTATGTCCATGGATGGTCCTAATCCTAATGATCCTAACGGTGGCTTTGATATGCTTTGTGCTTGTTTATGTTCAGCCATCTTTTTCTCGACAACTACCCTTAAACCTTTCGGAATACTTTCATTCTTTTCATCTGGTTCATCAAGTTTCTCTGATTTTTTCAAAATGTCCAATATTGTTTTGTTTAAATTGATCAACTTTTTGAAATTAAAAAATCCAAAAAGCATTAAATTTCGTACCAATTTCATTACTTCAAGGGTTAGATTGTTAATGTAATCTTTATTTCCTTGTCCAACCATTTTAAGATAATTTTCAACAAAATTAATAGTATTTGCCAATGCATTTTGAGTCTCTTTACGAGCACCATCAGCTCCAACCTTCAATTTAGCTTCAACAATATCGTAACTGTCAAACTCTTCGGGTGTCGGTATATCAGCCCAAACACGAGCATACTCGATTGGTTGTATCATTACATTGGGCTTACAATCAACGTGAAGATGAAGCATTAGACGGCAAAAAACTGCCCTCAACTCTATCGGTAAATCTTCGTCAACCATACATTGATGAATCAATTCAATACTTAGTTTCTCTGTATCTTTTAAATATCCAATGGCGTCATATTGTCTTTTGAAACACATGGCACAAAACAAATCCAATTGATTGCAATAGTATTTAAGCATTTGTTCAGCATTGGATTCTCCATGATTTGATCTTCTTGCATCGGAAACCAACTGTTTGAGAGATATTTTTGATTCAGGACGAGATGAATCTGGATACAGGTAGACTTCATTGTTCTCCATTTTAGTGTGAATCAAAGCATCTTGATTTTCAAAGAGCAGACATTTACAAAAACTTTCTTGGGTTTTGACAGATTCACCATCACAGACACATAGGTTTTTCAGTAAATCTAATATATTTGATTTACTCTCTTTTTTGGTTTCTTTGGGTGTTTTAAGAAGTGATATAAATAATTTAATTTCATTTTCACCAACAAAACCTTCCATAAACTGAGTATTACCCTGGATCAACACTGTTATGGTTTCCAAAGCTGATTCTTCTGTCTGTTTATGCTCCACTTGACCAATTATGAAACTAAATTTTTTACTTATTTCCACCTGATTTTTACGATAGTCTTTTTGACTTAATTGAAGAATCCGGTATGCATAGCGAAGTATTTCAACTAAATATCGATTGTACTCCGGGTCGTCAGGGATTGAATCTTTTTTAACAAACGGAGCAGCTAAAAGCTCAAAAATAATCTGTAAAAGCTTTTGTTCTCGCACCAGCTTTTGTCTATCTCGGTCAGGTATAACCGATGAGGTGCTTGGTGGCTGTGGTTTTGACTCATCTTTGGGTTGGTTAATGATAAAAAACATTAAATCAAAAAGCAGTGATTTAAGAACTTTTCTTTCGGCAGCAGACAAGGAATGATCTTTCAATTTTTCTACAGCTGTTTTCAGGAAACGATGAGCATCGTTGACAAAATCAAGATCACGAACTTCTGAGAATGAAACTGGAATTATCTGGAAAACCTCTTTATTTCCATTTTTTTGCTTTGCAATTACTTTAGACATGTAGAGAACAACTTGCTCTTTCTCTTTCTTTTGATTTTCATCGAAGAAGTCATTTGTATGATGTAACCAAGTACGGGTTGGTTGATTATGGATTCTAACAAAAGACTTATGTGGAACACAATCACCAATATTCACTTCCCGAGTTGGATGAAGGCGAAATTCAATTTTATCATCATATGTTGATGATGGAACAAGATACCATTGATTTGAATCTGGTTCAGCGGTAGGATCAGGAGCTAGTCCAAGATATTTCCCAGTCGATAAATGTTTGAATCTGATTGTTGAGTCCCAATGAGCTAATCCACCTCGAGGCACTTCACCTTGACGGATTTCAACTTCCCACAGAGCTTTAGAGCTGGTTGCGGACGTTGCTTCCGTTCTTGCGGTATATCTAAGGAACACTTTTTGTGATACAACCTTTTTACCATTATTTCCTGTTTCTTCTAGATCGTCTAGGGTTAAATATCGAGCTGATTCAGAGTGAAACAGACGGAAAACATCACCGGCTTTCAGGTAGCCTTCTAAATTTTCTCTGTAATCTAAGTAGAGAAGGATTTTCCAACTTGTTAAGGCATTGTGAATGTTGACCTCAAAGCAACCCTTGTGATCGGTATGTTCTCTGTTGGAAGCATGAAGACGTTGACCTGCTGACACAGAAACGAGAAAAATTTCATCCCCATAAGTTACCTGTTCACCGTTACCTCGAAATTTGAGACAATCTGTAACACGGAAATGTGAATTGTCATTTCCATCACGATCCAGAGAAACTCTCCAAGCAGAAGGATCTAGTTGAGCAGGAATTTTTGTAAATGCAGTAACATATTTATTGTTTTTAATGTTTAACAATTGTATAACATCACCATAATGTAAAATTTCCCCTCTTTGAGCTCGATTTTCTGCCTCATTTAAACGTTTTTCCTCTGTTGCAAAGGCTTTCAATTTGTTTAGCTTATTTTCATTACTGGAATCACGTAGTCGAGCCTCTTGATAATCTTGTTGAGCCTCATGTTTACCAGCAATACAAATACGATAGAGATAATCCCTCATCTTGGATGGCGTCTCAGTTAGATTACCATCACAGGTAACAGCAGCTCTTTCATCCACTGAATCAAGAGTAGTTAAAAAACCTTGAAATTTACCTTGAGCCACAAAAAGAGCAATGGTATCACCGATACGCACAGGAGAGTCACCAATGGTGGTTTGAATTTGTGAAGAATTAGTTGATTGTGGTGAAGATGAATTTGGTGAGAAAGGATGATGGTGTTGAGTTTGATGAGAACTTTGTTGAACGTGAGAATAACCATGGTAGGAAACTTGTTGTTGGTAATGTTGCTGGTGGTATAATGATGATGGACTGGTTGGCTCCATTTCTCGTTTGTACACTAAGCAGATAATAATATAAGATTGCACAAGTAAAAACAGTTAACCTTTCCTATTTTTGCATAAATTAATTTGTGACCTTTCAGGTTGTATCCAGGTATTACTGTAGATTTGCAAAAAAATAGAGAGACGAAAAATACTTTCGAAGCAATGGAATAGTGATAGATATAAAAGAATACAAAAACAACAAGAACAATAATATAATATAACAAAAAAAAAACAAAATCAAAACAAACAAAAACAAAACGAAATGATGATAATTGTTGACCTTGATGTAGGACAATACTGGTAAACAGTAATAGATAACTTGATTCTGAACTACATTGGAAAAATAAATGTAGAAAATTGTTGCCACAAAATAAACAACAATCAAAAAGTAAATCAATATCAAAAAGGAAAAAATTGGAATTAAGTTACTTTACTGAAGACAAAAAATTTAATGAAAACTCTCCTCTTCAGGATTCAGGATGAACCATGCTTACACATGCCCAATTCAGAGAACTATCTGCAAACCGCCATCTTTGAAATGGAAATATCAGAACGAATAATTGATTCTTAATCGCACCTAATCACCGTGCTCGCTGCTAATTAAAAGCATATTCGTTGTGAGTTCGCAAGAGTTCAAACGATCCAATGTAAGTTTAGTAAGTCTGAGCGAAGTGAAGTCTACAAGGGAAGTAATCGAAAGAGACTATCGATCTATCGGTCTGGCTGGTATCACATGTTCATGGTGCAATTCATTTACGTTCTATTTTGCTTTTATGAACATAATCATCGGTGACAAAAATTTTTGTGGTTTCAATCGACAATCCTATTTATTTAATTGTTGATTTTATTTATTGTTTACTGATAGAATTTGCTGCTTATATTAAAGCTGTAGAGTTTGCTGTTATTTTTCATTCTTGCTGTCAATTTCGTAAGTAATTTGTGTTTATTTTTGTTTCCTGAGCCATCTTTCACCTCTTTACATTAAATTATCGCTTCACTCTTTTTTATTTATTTTTCCTCTGTTTGTTGATTTCAACTAAATGATCTTATGATTTTCAGATTTTGTGATTTATCTTGTCATCAATGGGCTCATTGGTTTAAATTTCAAGTCAAAGTTTCACAGGTGTATAACTTCATTTTTAAATCGTTGAAAGAAACATTTAAATATGTCTTTGAATAAACTATCAAGATCATTAACATCGAAGTTCTTATCACCACACTTATATGGATTGAATAACAATTTCAAACGAGACGCAAGTGCTTCAAGTACCGATGGTGAGTTTAAAACATTGCTTCAAAGCTATTCAGTTGAAGAATTTTGTTGATTAAACATTTCATTTTTTATTTTTTTAGGATCATCCAAGAAAACTCCTCAGTTGAGACCTTTATATCTCGATGTTCAAGCAACATCACCTATTGATCCTCGAGTTCTAGATGCCATGTTACCATACATGACATCTTATTATGGAAATCCTCATTCTAGGACTCATGCCTATGGTTGGGAGAGTGAAAAAGCAGTTGAAGAGTCTCGAGCTCATATTGCTAACTTGATCGGTGCAGATCCCAAGGAAATAGTTTTCACATCAGGAGCAACTGAGTCAAATAATCTTGCAATTAAAGGAGTTGCAAATTTCTATAAAGATAAAAGGAATCACATTATAACCACTCAAATTGAACACAAATGCGTTTTGGATTCATGTCGTTATTTGGAAAATAATGGATTCAGTATTACTTATTTACCAGTTCAACAGTCTGGTATAATCGATTTAAAAGATTTGGAATCGGCCATAAATAAGGATACTCTTTTAGTCTCTATAATGACCGTTAACAATGAGATCGGTGTGATACAACCAATAAACGAAATTGGAGCAATTTGTCGTAAAAACAAAGTCTTTTTCCACACAGACGCAGCCCAAGCAGTTGGCAAAATTCCATTAAATGTTGAAAGTATGAATATTGACTTGATGTCAATAAGTGGCCATAAATTATATGGACCTAAAGGGATCGGAGCTCTTTTTGTTCGTCGTAGACCGAGAGTTCGAGTTGAGGCCTTGCAAAGTGGTGGTGGTCAAGAAAGAGGATTGCGCAGTGGAACAGTACCAACTTTATTAGCTGTTGGCCTAGGATCTGCTTGTAAAATTGCTGCCCAAGAACTTGAATATGATCATCAATACATCAGCAAGCTTTCAGAAAGACTGGTGAATAAGATAACGGAAAATATCCCAGAAGTCATTATAAATGGAGATCGTGAGCGTAGTTATCCCGGTTGTGTGAATATGTCCTTTTCTTGTGTTGAAGGAGAAAGTCTATTAGTAGCCTTAAAAGAAATTTCACTTTCTTCAGGCTCAGCTTGTACATCAGCATCATTAGAGCCTTCCTATGTTTTACGAGCCATCGGAGCAGAAGAAGATTTGGCTCATTCATCTATTCGCTTTGGTATCGGTCGATTTACTACTGAAGCCGAAATCGATTTCACTGTTGAAAGGTGTATTCAGCATGTTCAAAGATTACGAGATATGAGTCCTTTGTGGGAAATGTTGCAAGACGGAATCGACATAAAGTCTATTCAATGGACACAACATTAATCTTGCAGTACATACAATCTTTATTTGAACTTTAAAAAAATTCAAATCTATAGATTTCTTGTAAAGAAATACTAATTAAGTCCGAACTGTTGAACAAATTGGACAAATTGTAAACCATCGCCCCATTAGTATTGTCTCGTCATTTAAAGAAATTTAAATTCAATAAATGTAAATGAATTAAAGCATGTTACAGAAATTAAATAATAAACTCAGTCAATTTGAATCTATTTATTAAATGTTGCTCCATCAATATTTGACACCTTATGATGATACATTGATTTAACTACGAAACTGGTTCTAGGCTTAAATGTTAGCTCTTAAATATTAAATTGAAAACTTGAAATGATTTTTGAGCCTAACATAATCGGTTTCTATTCCGATTGCTAAGTCTAGTGACCTTTTTATCTTCCCTCAACTTTCTCTTGCCCATTTTTTCACCACCATTATCTAATGACCCATGAGTAATGATAATGGAATATAATTGGAACTTCAATTTTTTAGGCGACAAAGAAAATTGGCTTTGAATATGCAACTGAATCCTTCGATTATCAATGGAATCTTATTCTTATATTTACTCCTTAACAAAACGCTAAATGCCAAATTGAAAATATCAGTAAACTTATCAAGTCGACTTTTTTAATCAACAACAACAAAAGTTGAATTGCTTAAGATTGACAAGTTGATTTGATTGACAAAATTGGCATTGATAAATATCGATTATACAATAGTTTGCCTCAGGAGGTCTTCATAATTTTAGATAATTATCACCGAATGAAAAAAAGATGAAAGTAAAATAAAAAACAAAGGGATATCATTTGATAATATTTTGTAATCATGAGAAGAACCGAGAAAGCTCAAGAAAGTTCATTTGAAAGTTTGGGATGATTGAAAAGATAAATGGATTGAAAAGAAACAAAAAACAAATGAAACACTTACAAGGAGCTTGAAGTTAGCTTGCAGCGATCAACAGGTTATAAAACTTTCTAATTTTGCTGTTCTTTTTCTGCTATTTCACGGTAAATGGCCTAAGGCCTGAGGCTATTTACTTCATTGGTTCATCCACTCATCATCATCATCATAATCATCATTAGACTCACCTTAAATTGAACAGAAATCACATGGGAATACATTTATTATGAGCTAAAGAAACTGAACTTCAGTTTGACAAACCTTAACCTCAACAACAACCACTACAACAGCTATTAATACATTTTTAATTATTGCTAGAGCAGAGCTATTATTGTGAATATCAGATAAACCAGTTAAACCTCTGACAGTAATTTTATTTAAACGAACAATTGATATGGTAAAATATGGTTTGATCAAATCACTTTTTTTGCAAATTTTAACAATCTTAAATTGTTGATTGTGAATGACAACAACCAATAATTGGAAGCAATTAACATCGATCGGCAGCTTGAAGTCCATATTACTACATGTAATAAAATCTAACAATTATTTAACTATTAAAATTGTAAGGCAAAGTTTTTCTCAATTCTGTTATTCTTTGCCTGATAATTTCATCAAAATATGCGTTTTGGTATCCAGTACTTATTGATAATTTAAAGCATTATTAAAGTAATAATATTATCAATAAGTAAAGTATCGATACTTTTACTCACTTTGCCAGAAAAAAATGTCAGCGAAACATCAACAACATTAACATTTTAAGTAAACTTTTTTATGAACTCATCTTGCACTTCTAGTCTTCTTGAATTTAATATTGTTTCATTTTTTATTTCATTACTTGTTTTTTTTTGTTTTTAAACATAATGTCAACTGATTCGTCTCAAGGTTTTTTTAAATACTCTGGATCAGTCTAGAGCTAGCCAATCATAACTAACTTTGAAATTCATATTACCACAGTTATTGATTAAAAATTTCGGACGACTAAATCGCTTCAAGTAACGATGGCAAGTTTAAAAACATCATTCAATACAGTAGAAGAATTTTGTTTATTAACCATTTCATTTCTTATTTTTAGGATCTTTCAAGAAAACTTTTCAATCGAGGCTTTTAAATCTCGATGCTCAAGCAACGTCACCTATTGATCCTCGAGTTCTAGATTCCATGTTGAAACCATGTTAGGAACTGCATATAAAATTGCTGTTCAAGACCCTAATTATGATCATTCATGGTCGATTTGCTACTGAAGTCGAAATCGATTTTACTGTTGAAAGGTTACGAGATATGAGTACGTTTGTGGGAAATTTTGCAAAAAGACGATACAAATTGACATAAAGTAAATTCAGTGGCGCAACATTAGACTTTCATATCCCATGGTTAAAGTAAATTTAATTACAACTTCAAAAAGTTCAATAAAATTTCTGTAAATACAAATTAATAACTGAAAGTTAGCTTGCAGCGATCAACAGGTTATATAAATCAGTTACCCCTTTTCAGCTAAACCAAGCACACAAGGGATATTAATTTAGAAGGATGAAGCTTTCTTTTCGTGACTGTTAATCTGTGTGAATTACAAGATTATCATTGGCGACCATTGATCCCATCAAACTGTTTAATGATCATGGTTGGTTTGCTAAATTAAGAATAATAGAAAGTTAATGATTGTTGTAAAGGAGAAAGTTGTTTTGAAAATATCAAGCTAATATTATAGTTTGAGGTCATTGTTACCTTATGGTAAAATCAAGTTTTGCCTTCTTTAATAGCAACCTATTATCATTTAATTTTTCGGTATATTTTTAATAGTGCATTTAATGTATTCAGTTAGATACACAGCTTTTATAACTTGTTTCAATAACAATTTTACAGAGAAAACCGTTCACAATTTATAATCATAATCAGGTTTTCTTGGTATCAGATAGTGTTCAGTTTCAGGCTGAGTGAGAGTTGCTTTATAAACCTGATATAATACTTGTACTATCAACACCCTTTGATTGTTCAATACTGTCTATTTTATCAGTTAACCTTTTTGCATTTCATTTGATGGTTAACCATTCAAATTGTTATTTGACTGGAAAGAGTGAAAATTAAGTTACTCAGGTCATCGTACAAAATATTGACTATTATTATGTTAAAACAAGCCCTCTTTTTGAGCCAAAATAATTTTATATATTCAGATGTTTTTTAATCAAGATATTGTTTGAATGAATTGTTGCTGTTGCTATTGAAAATCAACAGTTTAGTGACCCTTAAGTAGATAATAATGATGATGAAAACTTGATTCGATCAACATGGCGCTGACTTTAAGAACCTTAACCTTTTACAATTGTTAATTGTAAATGTTGATCCATTATCATCTGGTTACATTTGATTTAATTTTCGATAACAGCATCACTTGATTGTTATATTTCTGTCCCTGTTGATTGTCAACAATACATTGTCCTTGTAGGTATACAATTAGTTTACATGGATTTCACATGTAAATAAAGATATCTCTTGTCCTGGTGTTCATCTTCAGCTGAATGTTTAATTGTCAATCGAGCTGGAATACGAGTTAAATCAAGTAACCAAAAATCCTTGAGTCTTTCAAATTAATTGCGAAGTAAAAAATTGATGTTTGTCAGTTGATAATACAGTTGAAAGTGTTGAGTTCAGATATCCTGACACTGTCGACGGAATTTTTGCTTTTCGACGGTACATAATTTGTAAACACAACCATAATTTTCACCAGGTTCAAAAAAAAATTTGAATTATTAATTAACTCAATTTGACTGGTAGCGAAATTATGCAAAAATCTAACCTTACTTAATCAATGATTAATCAGCGAAAAAATGGAATTTTAGACTCAAATTCATGCTTATCTTAATCTCCATATTTCAATTCATAAGTGGGTAAAAAATTAAGCAACTTAACAAAATATTCGTTAAGATATTTAATTTTTAAACTGTTCAAATAAATATTGACAACCCTGTAGTTAAAATAAACTCTTCAACCAAATAAAGATGAGACCGCGGCTGTCAGTTATATTTTTGATTCAACGTTTAGAATGCTGGTTTCCAGTTGAACATTATGATGATTGAAATCTGATAATATCACGACAGAATTTGCATGATGGATTCAGGGATTAGAGATGAACAAAAATAACACTTTTGACACTCCTTTGGTAACTTAATCTAATGGCAAGAACAACATACTGCTGTCTTGATCACACTTTAGGTAAAGGTTACAATTCTGGCAATTAAAGAGCTGCCCTGATAATTTACAATCAATCATTGATAGTAAACTTATCGGGATAAATCAAGATTAAAATTACAGTAACTCCAGGGTTATCCGGGGACATGATTATCGATGCCATCCAATACAATTTGAAAGTCATCTGACCACAACCTTGTAAACATGAATCAGGTGTCGAGTAATTTGTAAACCAATACTTGGACTTCCATTCGAAGTGAATTGAATATTAATTGTCTCGAGTTATACTTTTCCTTAACCAATAAAACAATGATCAGTGGACAATCTTTGAGACCAATAGGATTGTCGATTTAAAATGAAATCAATTGTTCCAGCCAAAGTTGGTTTCTCATTATTGCAATATTTAATACCAATTCCGAATCATGACCAACAATGCCAACGCTTTCGTAAACACTCACCAAATAAATCGGCCTTCGAGTAGATGAAAAAAATCAAACAAATTATACCTGCTATTTATGCAAAATGTTTGACATAACAGCGATGATATTAATCACATCCAAGAACAATAAAAATCGAGAAAGGTTTGACCTCGAGTTTCTGAAATTAAAAATAGAAGTAAATGAGATATGATTGGATAAAGAAGAATGGTAAATAGTTAATCGTTAATTTATCTGGTCATTGAATTTCAATATCAAGGATAGAGGTTGAATGAAAGAAAATGATGATTGACCGGCAATCCAACTTTTTCTCGTAATTTATTTTCACTCAACAAGTATATGGCTAATACATGTGTATGTTTAATTTGATTATTGACATTGATATTACCATTAGATTGCGAGTTAACCATCTTAAAAAAGGTAATCGCTTGACTTTCGACTGTAAATCATAGTCAATCTAATATATTTGTGCTAAAAGTTAGCAAGGTTTGCTGGAAGCAATTCACAATAAATTTGATTACAGGCTTCATGTAAAAGATCAACTTGGCAGAAGTACAAATCGAAAAATTTAAGACTAATTGTTGTGCGAAAGGAAGAAGAATCAGAAGCTAAACAAATTGTACTTACATGAACTGCAAAATGGTTAGCACCATCAATAAGTAATAACAGGTCCAAATTATAATCTAAGATGATCATGATGCGATTAAAGGTCAACCAGTTTTTGATCCTTCGTTTTATTATTATAATAATCATTCGATTATTTGATTTCTCAATTTTGGCTTCTTTTTGATTCGCAAAATTTTACTTTTTAAGGGTCATTAGTAAACATTATTTGTCCACAATCAAGGCAATGTAATCCTCTTTTGATTCAGATCAAGATGAGCAATGATGCGAATTAATAATATGGCCAATGATTTTATCGTATAACGTTTAAAAACAGATTATCCGTTGCATATAAGAATCCAGAATCCTTTTTCAATTGATTTCGACTTCAATTGGTACCAAGATTTAATGATAACAATCAATTAAAGGTTATCAGCTATTGGTTGAACATAAATAATAATCATTTGCATTTGCATCATCAATATTATCATCATCATTCTGAATAAAATGATAATAATAAAACAGAAAAAAAAGAATGAGTAAATAACAAGTTATTGACGGAAAAGTTTTGACCTGGTCAGGTCAAAAAATTTTATATAATGAGAGTTAAAAAAACTTGCCTAAACTGGACTCCTCATTGTCCAAATGATTTGTTGATTGATAATAATATTCAGTTTGATTTTGTTAAAGTTGCCAGCGTAAATCAAATAACACTTAAGTTAAATTGTTAGTGTTTACCTTTTATTTAACCGCAAACGATGTTTACCTTTGATCCATACTGCTTCTTGAAGATTATTCAGTGCATCATTCAGATCGATAAATTAATATTTTAGTGGACAACCTAATTAAATGTAATGAAAGGTATTAAAGCATCGTTTCTGTATAGAAAAGGATGAATCTTGGAAAATGGCTGCCAGTTCAACATCAATTCAGCGCATAACTGGTGAATGATGCAAACGAAGAATTGTAAAAAGCTTACTTTTATGAGTAAAAGTTATCAAAAATATTATCTAAAAGTTTAACAATCCTCAAGTTAAGCTTGATCAACTTTTCTTGTTATATCAGATTGATCCAAGATAACTAAAGTCAAGCTACATCATTTAATGAAGATCACAAGTTCATTCTTCGACCAGCTTTTGTTTAAAGTGAAGCTTGAGATTAATGAAATATAGTTATGTTTTCATGATATTTAACAGGGACAGGAATAATCGAGCCAGCTTTGTTTCTTCATTGTTTCAGTATTTTTTCATTTTTGATGCTCATTATTAATCGTTATTCTTCTACTCATCGTTACCATCCTGGAAAATGTAAACAATTCAATCGTTAATTGTAAAATTCTCGATGGGTGAGAAGAGAGAGAGACTGGCATATGTGAAACATGGTAAGATTTGAGGAGAAATCCAATCACTCAAGGATGTTGATGGAGCAACGAAGAAGTAAACAGCCGACGGATGAAGATGATAAGATGGTAAAATGAAGAAACCAGAAAAACCAGTATATTCGGTTTCCAGAAAGTGAGAGTTTGAGTGAGAGTTACGTAGTAGACAAGGAAAAGGATAAATATATTGGCTCCTTAAGCTCCATTGGTTATTTTGAACAAGGTTGAATTGAGAGAAACATCAGAAAACACCAAAATAAACAACGAAAAGCTTTTTAAATCAGAGTAATCAGTTGATAAGAAATTAAGTAATCCGGATCATTTTGTAAAGCTGTGTCAAGTTCCAAATTTACAGTTGAAGTGAAAGTTGAAAATTATTCAGTGTTTAACATCTATCTCTTTGGTTTCCAACAATTTGCGAAGCAGCAAAAGAGAAGATTAAATTGTTTTCTTTTTTTGTCAATCCAACGTTCAAACTACAACTTTCTCTCCATTTTTAAACTGCTTAATATCATCCAAGTTTTTATATTTGCTTCTTTTGTTTCAAATCGACAATGAATTCGTCACTTTTTTCCCTGTTTCTCATGGTTTTGGTAACTCTTCCGTTGATACAAAGTTATTGGGATGTCCATCGAGCTCAACGAACTGAACCAAAAAATCCTTTCCACAAGAAACCTTTAAGATATTTATACAAAAAATCTTATTATATTCCTTCAAATGACGGCATTGATTGGTCCGATCCAGAAATGATGCAACACCCTATGGATGACACACCTAGAAAGGTAAGCTTGAAATAATTAATCATTTGATTTACAGCAATTGACATTCTTGTTTACCTTGTTCAATCAATTGCAAGTGAAAACATGAATGTCTAGAGTGAAGCTTGTGATACAGTTCAATAAATTGAAATCAATATTAAGTATACCACATCATCATCATCATCATCACCATCAATTTAGTGGCCTACTTAGTAAATTAGCTACTGACCAAAAAGCTATTGTGTTGAATGGTAAGACAAAATGGCCAACTAATGACCAGACTATAGTTGAACGATATTTCCTTGTTGATGATTTATTAAATTGTAATCATAGTTAAAATAAATCCCGTTTCCGTGATATTGTTTAATGAAACTGAATGATGTTTTACTTTCATTCGTTTTCTTTTTCTTTGCTTCTTTTTAATCTCAATCGATTTCACTCGAATCCAACTGTTTCACTCAGCTTTCATATCAGAAGACTATAAATATATCCTTGTCATTTGGGTTAATTGAAGAAGAAGATGATGATGACGATGTTGGTGATGACAATTGATATCTTGTATGCTAATTATTTCTCCTTTTGATTATTTTTGTATCAGACTCACCGTGGATTGGGAGATATTTGTTCATACAGCAATGATTGTGAATCTGGGTGCTGCTTGTTAAACCGAGAAACAGGAATCCGAAGTTGCCAGAGTCGAGCCCAACGAGGTGAACGATGTACTCTTGCCCAAATTAAGGGCGATCTTTATGTTGATGCTTGTCCTTGTATTTCTGGAAATGGTTAGTATCATCTATAAATCAATGAATAACACACCTTGATTCACTTCCCACGATTATAAACTGAAGCCATCAGAAAAGATGAAAAAAATTGAGTCCTAAGATAGACAAAAGTGAAAAAAATTCAGGTTCACGTGATAATTGAGTGGTGACTAATTTAAATTTCAATTGAGTCACAAGAATTAATGCAACTTCGCAGCAAGTTCCAGTTAATATTTTCTCAGCCCGTAAACATCTATTTCCAGTCAGCAAAAGGTTTACATAAATGGATGCAGTGAGTTAATATGCATTAATTTAGAATTAGGAAATTAATGAAATCGATTTTCATCGGTTATATTATTGCACTTGTACATAAACTGTTAATTTAGGAATCGATCCAAATTAGCATTGGATAGCTAACTGACTATCTCAGACAGAAATACTCGTACTTTGAAATTGGGACAATATATTAGTTGATGAAAACTGTAAATTCAATGCTTCTAAACTCTTGGAAAATAGAGAAAAGATTATAATTGATTTACTCTCAATAACTTTAAACTTGGTTACCCATTCCATTGAAACAAGCAATTGGTAATTTGAGTGAGTTTGATCGAATGAAATCATTTAAATGAGAACAAGCCTTATAACGAGTACACAACGAGATTGCTGACCAAGATTTGTTTTCCATTATTGAGCTGGAAGAAAGAAATGTTGCTCTGAATTAGAATTATTAAAGCAGCTTATAGAATCAAATTTTTGATAACGTCTGGAGTTGATGAGACTACCGGTTAATTTGGTTATAAAATTGGAGCTTACATATAAATTAAATTTGGACATGAAGATTTCGTTATGTTTAAGCTCATTGTCCTCCTGTTAAAGATGAAAATGGTATAAACAAGGTTGAAACGTTTTGTGAAATCCTGCACGGCCATTGACAAAAAAATAGCTAATAGTGAAAATAAGAAAAGATAAGAAGGAAACGGACAAAATTAGAAGGCCATTAATGGTAAAATTAAAAGGAGAATTCAGAAAACTTACACTTGAAAAACAATCTTGTTGAAACGATTTGGTGTGATTGCCAGATTTTAACAAGATTCAATTGCTGTGGGTCTGTTGATTCTGTAGGTTGATGATATCATTGGTTAGAGCTGTATAATACTTATCGAAAGCCCACTCAATGTAAACAGTCTATTTCACCATGAAACAAAAAGTAAATTTGATTAAAAAATAATTAAATTAACTGCCAGACAGAAAGATAACAAAATCAAAAGTAAAGGCTTTGTGTCAGAAGGTAAATTTATTTGCCGGTCATTTATAGTTGCTAAGTTACAGGAATATTAAACAAAATGCTGAAAATTGTGGGCCTCAATTTGTGGGAACAAGTGCAATCATCTGTTCAAGTATTTTAATCCATTGAAAATTAATTTAATTTGTCTTTTTTTCAGATTACTGTGAATATCCATCAAGCATTTGTCGTAAATAAGCTGGACTAAAGAGTAACAATCTAATTTTTTTGCTGTTAAATTTGTTATTATGAACATACGTAAACAAAAAATGGGTACCTCGGATGATGGGCAGTTAACAAGCTGACAATAACAATCTACAAAAATCTAAAGCAAAATCTCAAGCCTGGATGGATTCCTGAATCAAACAATTTTGTTCATCTTCTCCATTTCTTCTCTAATCAAAGACCACCAAAATTTATGCAACATTAAGTATTATTGATTGCAAATTATAAGCCAAGTCCCTAAATGGCTTATCCATCCCATCTACGATCTGTTTGAAAGGATTCCAAGCATCTATAATTTTTTTATGGGGCAGAAATGAAGCTAAATGTTTACTGAAGTACCCATCATCATCATCACCTTATCCATCATCACTACATCATTATATATTCGTTTTTTAACTATAAATATAAGAGAAAAGTATCTAATATAAATAACTGGAATGAAAGAAGTCACCTATCATCAACCATCTGATTCATTCCTTTTATCATTTTGTCCACCATCAGCCAAAATCTTCTCTTTTCTACTCACTTATTGGATGAGAATTTAGTTAATCATGTATTTACACTCTTTTTATAGTATATATCCTTTAACACCCTCATTCCACTCGTTTTACTCAATTTTTTCAAGTCTGCTGAGAGCTTCATCTTGCAATTGAGATATTCTGATTTCTTCTCGCATTTCTTGGTTCTTCTATCTTCGAGAGAAAAGTTTAAACCATCATTCAGCTCATTTCCTTGCTAAACCAGCCATGACCTGGATTATTCTGTTCAACGTCTCCGTTATCTCACCACAAACAGCGTGTTACATCACCAGCCAAATAATGACAACAAAAACAATATCAACTCTCCAACATCAACACAATTATCAATTGTTATGAAGACTAGAGAACGTTTTTTCCCTTTGTTTCATCATTAAAGCCTTAACTTAGCTTTTGTATGATTCCACTTTACAGTCTCCTTCGATCCTTGCCTCTTCCACTCTTTGACATATTACATTTTTATTATTATCACCTCTTAAGAAACATTACTGTTAGCAGCAGCAACTATTGAGTACTTTTAAGAGTGATTGCTAAAATACTTAAATTTCAACCTGCTTGGTTAACAAATGAAGAAGAATGAGAAAAGATGAGAAATCTGATTCGTCTTGTAATACATCAAAACCTTTCTACGAAAGAAAAACAATTTTGTAAATAAAGTAATATTTTTTTGATTTATTTTATCATTCATTCATAAATAAATACATTGTATTATATTTATAAGAAATTCATTTTCACCTCGATTCCACAGTGAAAGAGTTTAAATTACGCCAGGTTATGAGTGATTTTACTAGCACTTGAATCTGGAATGATGCACAAGGATCAACTTTACGAGTTTTGTTTTAACCTTTTGATGAATTTTAAAATGATGTCGAGGCCATAAGATGAAAATCCAATGTGATCAAGGCTATCAAATCGGTACTGTAACTATGACACGTTATGAATTCCTGTTCCTTTATTGCTTTATCTGAACCGAACTGAAAGAGCTTCTAACTTCGTAAGGTCTTGCACTTTATTAGCGACCTCTAGAAAAAGGATCATCAAATATCTTAAGGCTGTTTTACTTGATTATTTTGAAGATTAAATAAACTTATAATATAATATTGAACATCCAACATAACAGTTAAACTGGATTAGATGATCGATCATTAGGAACTACATAATTTGTACTCGAAACAATGGAACGATAAAGATTTTGGAAATGCTGGAAAATAAGGAATCTGGATAAAATTTAAAAATAATTTATTGATTTAAAAGTTACATAAATTAGAATAGAGTCTGATTTTAAATGCATTTGTCACAATCTGTACCAAATTTAACTGAATAAGACATACAAAATGTCAATAACTATGGACTAGACCATTTGTTGAAATGATTTTTTAGTCAAGATTTTTTGAAATTATTTTGATTGATTGAGATTCTATCAGTTCTGTTTCTTTTACTTGATCATCTTTCTCATGATCTCCCCATGGTTGAGGATCGGTTGTAGCAAATAAATTAAAAAATATTAATGCAATGACTTGAAAACCAGCCATTAATTTGAATGAAAAAGTCCATTTGCTCACAGACTCAGGCTGCAAATAAAAAGATACACAACAAAATCTTAGATTAATGTCACGAGAACAGTATTCATCTAGTACTCACTTCATCTCCAAGAATAACTCCAATAATTGCTGGTGCCATGAAGCCAGAAGCACAAGCTAAAGTATTAGCAAAACCAAATGTGGTTCCAATCAGATTGGGTGCCATTTCTGGTATTGTGGGTATATTGCCTCCAACACATAAACCAAAAGAAAACATTGAAAGTATCAAACAGATGACAATGAGATTGGGTTGATCACCTAAATAACTGATTGCCAATAAGCTAAGACCGATCCCAGTAAGGCCTGAAAATGGCAACAAAGTAAAGTGTAGTTAGCTGTTTAAAATTTCAATAATTCAACAAGTTACTCTTCGTGAAAATTAAATTCAGACTTACCAGCGGATTCAAAAAGTTTTCTTGTTATCGTCCTGGATAACCAACCTTTTGTAATTATTAATTTAGCTAATGGTCCACTCGTTAATTCGGATGATATAACAGCAAGATAAAAGCTCGCATTAATCAGTCCATTGCTTTCAAGCTTAAAATGGAGAACTGATTCGAGGTAAACTGGAATTTTAGTGTTGATAGCGTTATAAACCAAATTATTGATACCTTTGCTTATAACAACTGACCAAAGTGGTAATGAGGTTAATATTTTCAACCAAGGTGTTGATTTCTGCCATTAGATGATAATCAAGTTATAAGATATGAATTTGTTTTGAGTATCTTTTCATTGTTCATACCTTTACTCTTGTTGGCTCTAGTTTATTGACCACAATCACGGCAAGTTGCTTTTTTTCAAAATCAGAAACAAATCGGTTAGATTGGGGTTCACGAGTAACCGAGATTATCCAAACTAGTGTAAACATCAAATTGAGGATTCCAATTATATAAAAAGCTGCAGGCCAACCGCCCCATAGGTTACGTTTACTTATCCAAGCAGTGAAAGACATTGATAGACCTGTACCAAAGTCACATCCAGTTTCAAGTAAACCTTGAGCCCACGAGAGTTCAGTTGTTGAAAACCATCGATCAACCAGACTGTACAAGGTTGGAAAAGTAGTTCCATGAACCAATCCAAGAACCATTCGGACGATAACCAAACACGTTAGACTGGTTTTAGCTGCCAATGGAGTGATAAAGGTACACAAACTGGCAAGAAATTGGGAAAGGGCCAAAAGACGAACATTGTTGAATTTATCAGTCATTGAACCAGCAATAATTTGAACAGCAGCATAAGTATAATAATAAGCACCAAGAGCCATTCCTTGATCATTCTGGTCCCAATTGAAATTAATCTGAGGAAACAATAACAAACCCAAAACCAGAAATTACTAAATGTAAACCAGAATGTAAAACGCTAACAGACTTGATCTATTGAATATTTGCAAACACCGCTTTATAATTATCTATCATTGTATTGATATTCAATAAAATGGGTTCATCAATTATAATCATTATTTTGATTCAAGTGGTTATATTAATAAACCTTGTATTACTATGTACATTGTAATGTAGCTGGCTATTGTGAAAGCCACTTGAGACTAAACTTTTTATAATGTATTGGAACGATGTAAATTATCCGAAATTATCTTGATTGTTCTGAATTATTGTTGAGCTAAATCTTCAAGGCTGCTTCAGCATATTAATAGCGTCATAATTGTTCATTTTATTTGCTTTGAAAATATCAAAAACACACAAATCGGTCAAGTTGGAAGCTGTAAGAAATGAAACTGTGAATGGTTGCTGATTAACTTACCCTGGTTGACTGCGGGTCTAAATAATTAGTGAGATTATTATTTGCCTCCTCTCTAGTGCCTACCATAGCAAGTATGGCAACATTAAGTACACAACGCGAACTAAATTCAATGGCCGTAGCCATGAAAACAAGAAACATCACAAAATATCTGAAAGGAAATAAAGGTTCCTTTAGTTTTCCGTGGTAATCTGGACAGATTTGGTTCATATGATTTGCCATATTTTAGTGATTGATTGAAATTTAATAAAAAGCTTTTCTAACAAAAAAGTTGAACAATATAAAATTAAACTGAAGAGTTAGAATAATGAAATTAATAGTAGAATTGTGAAGTGATAAAAATGTCAATAATTAAGGGAAAAAAGGATAACTTTCATAGTAAACACTGAAAACAACAATAAAGAATTTAATCATTTGTCTAGTTGAAGTGATTAAAAAGTGTCTACTTGAATGAATAACGAGTGAAACTTGATACGAAATAATTGATTATACTAATTGATAGTAATAATAACATTGATAAACCAGCATAAGAAACATCATGTTCATCAAATGGATGTCATGTGAAAAGGTAATAGGATAATAGAGTTGTCGAGTAATACATGTAAAGGGTCTTAAAAATGTATCACTCATTTGATCGACCCAAGATTGTTATTCAATATGATATAATCTAGCAAATTAAAATATAAATAGGTGCTTTGTAAGGGCTTTTACTTTGACATCAGTTGGTTATTTAATAATCATTGGATAACCGTTTATTAAATAGACATAAGTTAATCATTATACAATATACTCAATCATGTTGAAAACTTTGGACATCTAAACAATCTAATTAAGTGTATAAAAGTGTTGCCTTATAAGGCGCTAACATAACTATAAGCTTGTTTTGGAAACCGTTTCATTATCACAGTAGAACAGAATTCAATTTAGGAATAGAAATTAAATTAAATTTTTATGATCAGATAGTAGTCTCGCCTGTTTCGTCTAACTCGTCGACTTGACGATCCCAGGAAAAATCTCGTTTTTTGTTCAAATAAATAAACGACTTTACTTGGCCAACAATTAATGGTGAGACCAAACCGAGCACAAGTCCAACAAATGCAAAGAAAAACGCTAAACTTGCGATTTTGACACTACTGCTATTGTGTTTTCGCAAACTTGTATGAGACTCGCCATTAATTGATTGTTCAGATATCAATTTATAATTTCGACAGTTACTGGAATTGGTGGTTTGAACATTTTCATCATGAACAGTGTATGCTGATAAAAAGCATGAAGAGGCTGAAGACTTTGATTTAGGACAAAAATTGAACGATTTACATCTTTCATTGCCATTATTTTCCCATCCTGAGCATAATGATGCACACTGATCAATGTTCAAGTCTAGTTCAATGTGATTTGTATTCATTATTACAGTTGGTCCACTAAGTTGATAATTGTGTATTTTTTTCGCTGTTTAAAAAGAAAACAAATTTTCAAATTAAATTTTTAGATTAAACGAAAAACTCTGTGAATCACAACTTACGAATATAAATGTCACATTCGTTTGAGCTTTCAGTCAATTGTTGCGAGTAATAACTCGAAAAATAACACAATCCTTGGGTCTCACAGAATTGGTAAGAATAGCATTCCAATCCATTTTCAATGCAAGATTTAGCACAATCATCATTTTTGGTCAAAGAAATCGGATGACTTTTGATATTTTTAAATCTTTTTGACTTAATTTGATGATATTTGGTCTCATATTTGGCATAATACGTATTACAGGATGCTTCTGAGTCAAATTTAGCGTCTTTGTAACCTTCACTGGATAAAATACATTTTACTTGATTAGCAGTTTGGCAATATGAAAATGAAGAGCATTGTGAATTGTATTCCGAAGTACAGGATCGATAGCAATCTCCAAAATTTTTAACATTTCTAGCCAACAATGCATTATCACTATCAATTGATAATATCCTATTCAAATATGGACCTTTAAACTGCTTCTCGCTTTTATAAGAAGTTTTCAATGAGGATGAAGAATCCACAATATCATTAACTTTGTAGTGTGCATATTTTTCATGGTAACAGTTTTCACAGGGAATTGTTAGAATTGAACCAACTGTCGAATGTAATAAATAATCGTGGATTGAATCTAAACTTATTTGTTGTCCTAATTGACGCAATTTTCCCATTTGTGACTCTATTGTGAGACACAAAGCTCCAGATTGATGGTCATCAATTAAATGGTCGGCATCCGAATAACTTTCACATATAATATCCTTTTTGTGGTCACAATAGATAACCGTTCTGTAAATGATGGTTAAATAAATGGCATGTGAGATTTGAATAATGGTTATTTAACCAAAAAAGATAATTTAACTACCTGATATTTTCGTTTAGCAGTGATTGAATTTGTACACATTTTTCTAAAGTTGCGACTGTAACAGCTGTAGCGGTAATTTTACTGATATCCAATCGTCTAATGTTGACTTCAAAAATATCTGTGAAATGTAATTATCACTCAAAATTAATAGAAGTGCAATAAATTAGCGGATTTTAGTGTTATGAGTAAACTACTCTACCGTCAACTTTAGGTGCTTCGGAAAATGTAACCGTTACCAAAATCTGATCCAACTTAGCCTCCAAATCAACATTTTCAATACGAAGTGGCGATATATTGCCATTTTTCGTAATTTCATCCAACAAATGGTCTTTGATCTTTTCAACATAATCTTCCACGTGCTGAAATCCCTTGACATCTAACCAAAACAAAATTAAACGGAATCATGGGGTATACTCAATATAAGTTAATGTAATTATTATATGCATACCAATACTAATAAGCTGAAAAGTTAGATCCAATGTTTCCGCCGAATAACATTCCTTCAATTGTAAAATCTGACGAGCATCAGCTTCCACGAAATCATTTTGGTAAATGTGAATTTCCCGGTTAATGTTAGTTTCTAAATTGTATAGATTCTGTGAAAAATTCAAAATTAGATCCAGATTAAATGCGTAAAATCAGTCCAGTTTAAGTTAATGATGCTAAGTTGACGTTACTCCGTACCTTTGAATCTTTCAGATACCCTTTTACTGACACTGATAATGGTATATAATTTTGATCATCAAGCACAAATCCTGTAAAATCAATCTATTAAACATGAAAAAGAAACAATCAATCATAAACAATATTATTTTTTGAGTAATTTTCACACTAACCGATTTTCCCATGTAAATTGTCACTACCAGTTTATCGTACTGTTTATTTCGGTACGTAATATTATATTCAACTGATTCCCATGCACTAGCTAAACGTCCTGATTGCAGGTTCTATTAAAAATTAGATACGAAACCATGAGTTCAGATTTGTTAGAATTGTTACACTTTACTAACATAGTCTAGTTCTCCAAGATATCGAACTGGTTTGTTCATATCGAAAATTTGAAGTAGATCAAGTTGATTTTTATTGTCCAATCCAGGAGCATGCAAATCAATCTCTTTCAATTGACAGGTTTTATTGTCGGTTGAACTGTATGATACACCAATATTGTAATCATAGAGAAGGGTTATGTAGTTTTGACCGTCATATTTAGTCATTCGAACAATCTTTACCAAGTCATCAACGTAAATCTGCTTTAAACATGAATGAATTAAATTTCAGATCATTTTTAGAAAATTGAATCTTGCCTCTGAATTTGTCATTGTTGAATTAGTTGACTCTGTAACTCTTTCATTGATTATCATGTGCATCCGATGTGTATCCAATTTGGGGAAAGCTTTATTTATCTCCATGTAAAATGGACATCCAACACCCGGAGTTACCTAAAATCAAAAGGTGATAATAAAAGTAATGTTTATGAGCCGAGAAGATGATTAATGATATGAGAATATTGAAATACCTGAGTTTTTATATGATGGTTATCATCTGAAATGGTTTGTAAGAGTATATCTAAATGCAGGTTGTAATCATTGAATTCAATCCGGCTAGGCTCGAGTAAGCCTTCTTCAGATTCTTGATTCACTGTTATTATCGAGATGGAAAATAATTTACATTATATTGTTATATAATATTATATAATATTACAAATAGTCACGTTAATTTTCTTACATTTATGATAGATTGTGATTTTTAATTTAGGTGAAATTTCCCTTGAAAGGCTTTCCATATCAACTCCCCTGATTTTCATTGTTGGGCCTTTTATCTGTAAAATGAAGGTTTTAGCAAAATTCTTTGCAATCTCATGGAATCTTGACTCACGTAGCTATGAACATCACTTTGAAGTCGATACACAATTGAAGGTCCAAGGAGCAAAATCATGTTTGTCAAAGAGCTGGTAACTCCAGGTAACATTTTATCCCAATGTTCATAACCATCATATGTGTACTCTGCACATTCGTTGTCTAGAAAGCAAAGAAAAAATCGTTTCAATGCCGGACTCTGTATTTAAAAACTGGAACTCCAAGTAAACTTGAAATACTGAGTCAAAAATTTTGTATTTCTTTTTTCTGTCTGAATTAATGACGAACTAAACTCACCATAAATAACTAATCTCTTATTGTCATGTTTCTTGTTGTAAAAAATGGTGTACGAGTAATCATCGGAATTGATTTCGATCTTTCCATGTATTGAGTAGGCAGCTGATAAATACTCTTTTATGAACCATGATTTACTGGATACCTACAAAATCAGGCAGAATTGATGACATTTTCAAACTAAATTCGAATCAATAATTTTGTAAACATGGCTTACCTTATCAACCAGAGTTGCATGAAGAATCACATTTTCATCTGAGACTCGTAAAGGCAGATTGATAAGCGAAGCTGGAGAAGGAATATAAAAATAAAGTTAGAGTTAGTCGAAACTAGTACATTGAACCAAGTTACCTGTACAGTTTAATTTATTAAAAGATGAACACAATATCAAAAATAACACTAAAATTTTCATTTTAAGATCACTTGTTTTTTTTGTCTAACAAGTATTTGAAAGCTATCAAAGTAACAATATTAATTCAAGTTAAAAATATTAAAATAAGTTTACACGAAATTGAACATTATTTGTGGAGAAATAAATACAAAATAGAATTCAAATAGACACAAATGAGCATCTAAATCTGGAAATTAAATGAAAATTTAATACACGCCTCAAAAGAATAAAACAGTAGTTAATTTACCGTTTGTGTTAGTAGCATATCTTGATTTGGTGTAACTAAAGAGCGGTTTGAGGACAAGCTGATATCAATAATTTCAATTTTTTACCATTTTTATTGAAATCATGATCATGTCAGCTCATTTGATAGACAAATATTACATTGAGAATAATGATAATAAAGTTCGCTCACCTGAGTCATTATAACAGTTCTTTAAATCATATGAAACATTTTGTAGTCAGAAAATTTTCCTGAAATTGAGATGATTTCTCGCACCGATTCCTTATGGAAGTCATATTTGTTATAGAAATCAATTTCAACTGGAATTTTGAATCTTAAAATTTCCTTGCTAATAATATTTTAAAGAAAATTATGTTCTAACTGGTCAGTATGGATTAATTGCTTGAATTCCAGTCCAATTGGCAGCTTAAAAATATCTTGTGTTCCACATTTGGTCAAAATGCGCCAATTTTTGTAACTTACCGGCTTAGGCTAGAATGTTCATGAGATGACAAAAATTAGAAATAAGAATGAGTTATTAATAATTTCAATTTGTATGTTGAAAGATTTATATCTAAAGTTGTGAGTTGACTCACCTTTTAGATTAAGCTTATCATAGATATAAGATAAAAAGCTGGTTGAAAGATAATCAGGGGCAGAAAATCAGAGCTTATATCCATTGTTCGATGAATAAGCTAAGATTAGGAAGATTGCAGTTGAAAACTACATTGCAAGTGATACGAAAAGTTAGATAAACGATTTAGATACCTGTATGGTATCTAATCTTAACGAGTCCTGATCCAGGAATAAGTTATGAATGAATACTTTCTCATAATGGTAAGAGCGCACAAAGTGTACAGACAAATAAATCTACGGATTACATGTTTCTGGATTTAATGGACTATTTTAAATTTGTATCTTGATTGTGTTTATAAATCAATCATGAGCGAAGTTTCTTATGATTTAGTTAATTCGGGTAGCCTGATGAAGGTATGTTTACTTGGCTATTTTATTCCCATAAATGGTTATTACTTTTTTCTTTGTGTGTTTATTATTTAACATTTGTATTTTGACTTTACCGTCAATTGACAATAGTAATTTTGTCTTTTACACAATGAAATAATTATCATTCATGAATTTTTTTTAAAATTTTTCTTTCATTTTCATGTAGGAAATTCAAGCATTGATTGCTCCACCAACATCAGAAGAGGAGAAGAAGAGCAAAAAACCAAGGAAAAATGGGAAAAAACACGATCTAAAAAATGGTTCTGGTAAAAGTAACAATAATGAATATTGTAATTATTGTAAAGAAGGTGGTGATCTCCTTTGTTGTGATAAATGTCCAGCAGCATTTCATCTGACCTGCAAGTAAATAATTTACTTTTCAAGTTTACCTTCAAAGCTCAAGCTGGTGAAGGAGAAAGTCAAGTCTTTTTATTACTGTTAAATTTTCATATGAAGCCTAAAAGATTTAATATCAAAGCAATCTTTTTATTATAAATTTGTTCAGTTTTACAATTTTACCATGTTTAGTTAATAAAAAGCCTAAATTATTATTTTCTATATTAGTTGAATAACGAAAGATTAAATTATGTGAGTCCATGCTTATTCTAATTCTTTTGTTTAGACTTGACTTCTTTTTCCACAAGAGCTCCTTGACTTACATCTTTCTTACTTTTCGATTTTTCTTTTTTGTTTTAGTGATCCACCCCTAGATGAAGATGATATTCCTCCCGGTGATTGGCTTTGTAAACGGTGTCGTATCCTGGAAGGGAAATCAGTCGGTCAAGTCGTGAACGGATCTCCTAATAATACATATGTTAATGGTTTCTCTGATATTAGTGCCTCTTTAACTATGGATACCATAAAAGAGCAGCCTGCTGTTGGAAAGAACAAGACTGTACCTTCAATCACAAATCCAGACAGTCTTGATGAAGAAATTGATAGCTCTGATAAGCAGGCTTGCCATGATGAAAAAGTGAAAAGTCAATCGGTAAAACAACAAACAAGTTCAAGCTCTCAACAGTGTAAAACAGTGAACAAAATAACGAATTCGTCTAGTATCCAGAATGATGTCATTGATGATGTATCGACTGTACGTTCACCGAAAAATCTTCTTTCATTGTTAATCAAAGCTGCCAAACTAGTTAATCCTATTCAATTTCAACTACCGACAGAGTATAATCCATGTATATCATTCCCTGGGTCGAGTAAAAAATCTCAGCCAAATACAAATAGTGGCAACTCAAGATCCAAAAAACAGCCTCATGAATTGGACAACGGTTTGGTTCCTCTCCCGGTTAAAGTGTGCTTTAAGTGTGTTCGAAGCTGTCGTAAAGCACCATTGATCCAATGTGACTATTGTCCTCTCCTGTATCATGCTGACTGTCTAGATCCACCTTTAACAACTCTTCCAACTACCAGATGGATGTGTCCTAATCATGTAGAGCATATCTTAGAAGATAAATTATTAGTTTCTTCAAGCCTGTCAGATAGAATAAAACTATGGGAAAAATGCCGTACACGGGTTGCAGATAAAGTGGTTAAATTAGATTTTCTCAGAAAAATTCATAGGACTGATCCATATTACCGGTGTAACCTCAAAGAAGGACCAAAGAACTGTGTTAAAGTTCCCAAAGCTATCAAAGAAATGTATGAAAATCCTATAGCCATTCATCCTAAAAAAAGTCCATCTTTCATAAATCCATACGAAAATTTCAAAGAATGTATGGCCGACCTTGCCAATTATGAGACGAAAATATCTCAAATGTGTCAAAAAGAGCAAGAAGCTTTAGTGAGTATGATTGCTCTCCATTCCTCAGGGCCAAATTCTTCTCAACTGCCAGTTAATATTCAACCAGAGAGTAGAGATTATATTAGTGAAATTCATAAGCCAATGGTCAACGGTGATAAAGTTACAATTAATGCTGATAAAGGAGAGAAAACAAATGATAATAAATCAGCAGAAACTAGAGATACTCAAATAAACGGTAACCATCACGAGGGGGACATGGAAGACAAAGGTAAAGATAAAAGTAAAGCATCTAATGACGTTGAATGTGATAATTACGATAAAAGCCAATCGAAAACAGATCAAACTCATCAAAAATCAACCCTTCCAATCAATGGATTTACTACCGAACTGGACAAAATAAACTTCGAAAATTTAACTTATGAAGAACTGAACAAGCTGGATGATAAATTGATAAAATATTTGGCTTTTCAAAAACTTCAAGAGATTTCGTCTGTTAAATCGGTCAAAAATAAGCATCAACTGGAAAAAACATTAGGAAATTATAGCTACAACAACATTAATAGTAATGTTACCAGCATAATAAACAACAGTGATAATCCTGCCAACGTTTTACATACAAGTAATGGTGGCTCTAAAACTCCAGAAGTTCCTAGTGATAATGAACAAACACGAAACATTAATGGAAATAAACTAACTAATGGGTCTGATTCTAGTAAAAAAATGTCCCTTGAGTTACGAGCTCGAGCAGTGTTATGTCCTATTTATATCAAACCAAAAAATGGTTTCTCCGATAGGCAGCTTCCTAATCGATCCATCGTTCCAATGCCATATCGAACTTTGACAATTGGTACTGGAGCCAATAATGATGTTTCTCTAACTAAATATGGCCATTGTAATTATGTTTCACCAAACCATGCTTGTATATTTTACGATGAGGTAAAGAAATTCATACTTTCTCTTGTTCCTTTGCAACCTTGAATTTTACCGGTTTTAACATTTTATTTACTTTTCTGTTTCTTTGATCTCTTTCTTTTTTCTTTGTTTCTCACATTCTTCATCTTCATCCAGGATTCAAAGAAATACGAGTTACTAAATTATAGTGAGCACGGTACAACGGTGGACAGTGTTTTGTATTGCTGTGATTTTTCGGAAAAACAAATTCCCAAGCAACAGTCAACCGATCAAAGTAAAGACTCGCCCACGGTGGCTTCGGTTAAGCAAATCTTGAAGAAAGCTCGCAAGAGAAAGGCCGAGGCCAACACTGATCATACCAAACCTGTCCATGATGATGAAGAAAACTCACATTCCCAGTGTTCGTCCCCCAGCCGTGCAAAGCATTGTTTTAAAGACGATTCAACGTCCGACAATAATTATTTAAATGAAACCAATAGCATCAACAATACCACAAATAACAAACCATCATCATCCCTATCATCCTCTGTCGATGGACTTGCTCACCTACAATTTATGGCATCCAAAGATAAATTAACTTGGGAGTCGTGTTCTTGTCGATCAAGCTGTTCGTCCCTATTGTCATCCAATGGTGCTGGTTGGGAGGGACCTGCTATTCTTCATCATGGTTCCTTGATTAAATTCGGTTGCATACAATTTGTTTTTAGTGTTACCAATTGTGGATTACCGAGAAAACCTTTAAATACCAACCTGGGACCCTCTCTTTCGGTTAATAGCAACAAGAATAACAATAACCCAACCGTTACAATTAATTCTTCCTCATCAATATCTACAATTAGTAAAGATTCTTATTCAAATGATCAAATGGTCACTGCGAAGACATGAAAACACTTTTGCAAAAGAAAATTTTTTCTTCTGTAAAGCTAAGCTTCTAAATTGTACAAAGAATTTTTCTCCTTCTTTTTTTTCAGGCAAATCAATTGCCTTAAATGAGTGAAAAAATCTCATGATGAAAATAATTTTGAATCTGAATATTGAAATAATAATACTCACAATTTCGTTTTAATGGCTACTCGAAAATTAAAATTTTGTTGTCCAGATGAGAGAAACATTTTTTTTCTTTGTAAATCAACAACAATCTTTTTATTCATACTAAATCAACTCAATATTCAACAAATTTATAAATATCCAAAATTTTTGAAAATCCATTGTAAATTATCCGTTACTAACCAATAAGGTTAATCATCCACAACAATGTAATAAATTACCTACAATATTGTAAAAAACAAATGGTAATACAAATATGTTAAGTGTAAATTAGTTTAAATAGATTCAATTATTTATATAAATTTACTCACCCTCCATGGTAATACAAGTAATAATAAATCATTTGTCGATAAGCTCTGTTAGCAGCACGAACTGCACCACCAAGAGTCCTCTCGCGTGAAGGAACGTCATATCCAAAAGCTTCATTGAATGGTAGCAACTCTTTTTTAGCGTATTTCTGCCCAACAGCGATTCCAACTCCAACACACAGAACAATCAATCCAATTAGTAAATTAAACTTCATGTTGAACGTTTACTCAATGATCATTGATCAGTAAATGATTGTATTTTCAGAGAAGATAATCTTTGTAAATGATTACTTGAACCAGCATAAATTTCTGGTTTGTACTTTTGAATTAACCCAAATTGAATAGACTTATGTTTTATTCAATACTCTGGTCAAATGCTGGTTCTTAATGGTTAATTACCCATTAAATTCAATGTATTAATATAAATGCGTTAAATCATGAAAATTTCATCTTCTGTAACGTTCATTTTGATTAATCTGCATTTGTTTACATCTTCATAGCCAGCTTTGTTTGATTTTTTAAGCCCATTGAATATGGCTTTTCTTAATTGTGCTACTCTTTGTGATTATTTGCCAATGATGGTTAGCCAATGGTTAGTTGATAGTCTACACTTTTATTTCATTATTATCCAATTAGGTTGAGCATAAAGGTTGGCTAAGAACTGGTTGAATCTTAATGACAATTGAAAGGTTTAAGTTGATTATGAAAATAAACTATTTGTATGGTCAGTATTAAAAGAAAGGATTTAAATAAAAAAGGAGAAACAAAAAAAGACATTATCATCTTAAGTTGAAGATAAAGTTGGTGATAATGATGATGATTTATCTTGTTTCCTTGCCTTTATGCATAATGCTGATGGACACTTTACACCAGGCTAACCTAAATCTGGATTTTGGTTGGTTGTTGACGAGGAAACGTTTTGTTAGATTGAAGAGCCAAAACAGGTCAACAATTTAGTTTAACATTGGACTCAATAAAAAATTGAAAGATGATATTTGCTTAAATAATATTAAGGAAGAGAGAAAGTTATTCAAACAATCAATTTTACCTGAATAATATATCTTGTGTGTATCATATTTGTATTATACTTCTTGGTAATGCATCTTAATCTTATTTACTATAGTTTAATTTTAATATACTATGACAAATAACCAGTTAACCTGCGAAAAGACCGCAATCTAAAATTGTCAGATCAACTACACCAAATTAAACTTTAAGCTAAACATGTTTAAGGTATAAATGAAGGCATCTCGAGATGTGTGAAGAGTTGTTGTTGAAGGTGCAAACACACATGATAACCAAAATTGAACGAGAGGTAAAATTGAGGTCATCATCGGAGGTTAAAGGTGATCAAATCAACATCAATCACTAATGCCTAAAGATACAAAATGAGGAACCAAAATGTTAGAAAATTTTCCAGATGATAACCTCAATAACTACAAAGTAATTGCAAAGATATCCATGAGTTTTATGCAAAGATGAGCAGACACACACCAATGGAGGGCTGGACAAGAAAAGCTGAGCTTTACTGCGAATCGTTATCACACTATTTCAATATTGAACTGTAATGAAAGGATGAAAAAAATGATTTAATATGATAGAGAGAAGAGGGAAGAAGAGGGAGAATGAGGAGAACAGAATAAAATAAAACTCATTTCCGGATGAAATTAATAAGTAAAGGAATTGATTGGTTTGTGATGAGAAGACGAAGAAATGGGATGAGAGTTACTCTTTTTGAAAGCTGATTCCGGTTCAATTGAAAAGTCAATTAAGTGTTATTTTTAAAAAAAACGAGAAACACGCACCAAAAAATAAAAAATGTTAGCGCCCAACTCAACACGTACAAGAACAAAGGCTCAGTTTCTCACAAACAGATGAGGCCAACTTGAAATAGATTTTAACTATTCTTGAGATCGGTAAGTTGCCTGAGAAATCAACTTTTAACCAAGCTTTTCTCAAGCTAACTTAAAAATCCTAAGTTTTATCAGCAATTAACATGAAACATCTGTGAATTAACTTTCACTTTTCAGCAAATTATCGATGATAATATCGATGATAACATCGATGCCTAATTATCGAGCAAAATCATCAAGCTCAGAGCGTAAACAATGAGCCATGTTTTTGTTTTGAAAAATTTTCAGTGAATTGTTGATTAACCAAAACACGGGCAATTTTAAGGATTATCTCATCTCGAAAATGAATGCGTTCTAATCTGGCAGTGTCATTAAGTGCCTGGTATCCTCGAACTTGTTATTTTCTCTTTCTTTTCAGTCACCACTTTCTCTTCCTTAAATAATTCCTCCATGCACCTCAATTTTGGTTTATCAATTTACTCTTCCTTCTCTTGCCAACCTCTCTTGCTACTTTCATCATCTCTTTCTCCTTCTTTCTTTCTTCCCATTATATACACTCTCCTCTTTCTCTTTCTCCACCTTCTTTTCAGTGAAAATTACTGTCTGTTTCGATACACTACACTTCTCATCATCATCATCAGTTGTCATCCAACTTCGAAAGATTTACTGTGATTACCAGTTTTGCTTGGTAAACAACATCAACATCAACCATCTTATACAATTGAATTTCATTCTCAAGGAGAGAGAATAAGAAATTCAGTCAAAATAGATAACTTTTAAGACAATACTTGAATAGCTTATTTTGATTAAACCAATTGTTTGCTGGTTTAATCTGTTTCCCTGTTTTCATTGCCCTTTGTGTTTATAAATTGCTTTTTTTAATATCATTTTGTACTTTTCCCTTTAGCTTTCTACCTCATCTTTGTCCATTTTGTTGATCGTAATGATGTTATCTTCCAACGGTGCAAATGCTTCTGATTTATCTAAAGTCACAAGTAAAACAAAGTTATTTTTGTTGATCCTGATTGGAATTCAGTTTACTTTGAGTCTAATTGAATTTGTCTTAGCCATTGTCAATGGATATGTTGAAGCCATCCTGATCACTGTGATAAGTGTCTGCATTGATGGAACCCTTTTGAGTGCAATCTTCATGCAATGGAAATCCGTATTACGAGTTTTCCGTACAATAATCATTGTTATTGTAATAATTTGTATCATTGCCTCACTGGCAGGAATCCTTGTCCTTGTTGGCGGTGAAAAATTGGAGAAACATCAAGTTGCCGAAGATCTGATTACCGTCATAATTGGTTCACTAATTTATTCACTTTTAGCTTACCTGTTGGGCAAATATCTCGATCAAATCTCCGTCAGCGAGCAGTTCAGCTACAGTACATAATCATTTGTATCTTAATCTCTATCATCACCCCACCATCATCATCAATTTTAAATATTCAATTCATTATCACCATTTTTCACACCAACATCATCGAGTACGTTTCTCATACCATTACTCAAGGCTTATGGACTAACTCATTTTTTGGCAATTGTCGCTTTTTGGCCCTTTTCGGATCATTTGAGTATTCAGATGATCTGTTTATCGATCGATCTTGTCTGAGCTTAAACATAATTGGAAGATGCGTTGAATAACTTATCCAGCGGACCAGAATCAAGGAAAAAACATATCGATTCAAGGCAAACCCAGCTATTCTCAATGAGCCTGATTCAACATAGTTACAATTGTTTGTATTTTTTTCAAAACAATTGTATCTATAGAGACTTTTCATGTTTCACCTTTTTTTCATTTTTATACACTTTTTCCTTCCATCCATTTTATACTTAAACATGCAAACATTTTTTTACCCAATTTTTAATCGTTCACTTTGATCATTAATTTCGATCATTCGTAATCTTTAAATCATCTTGCAAATACTCATCAATCAATTGTAATACACTTTGATGCAAAAACAATAAATTTTTTGTAATTTTCCAATCATTTTCAATTGTATCTCAGCTTTCCTGTAATTGATTGATTGTAAACAAGTTGCCTTTTGACAATTATCAAATCTTTTTTTGCCAACAGACAAAAAATAAACAGCAAAACAAAATAATTGAAAAATTCAGTGAATTAAATGAAAATATTGAATCAAGTCCAGTCTTGATCATAACTAGCTTATGCATTATGTTATTCAAGCTTTATTTAAATAACAAAAAAGCGTCTTTCGACAAATTGATTGGCAATTTAAATCAGTTTGTTTGTTTTTTGATTTTTGCTTATACAAATGTATGTTAATATATTAAAGTTAAAGTATTTAAAAATAAGGCAAATTGCTGATGATTAATAAATTACAGGTTAGTGTAACTTGATGGTAATGATGATGGTATGAATGATACCAATAACGATAATGGATAATGATTGGAGATTGATGACTATTTTCATTGAAATGAAAGTGATTTAAAAGGTAAGGTTAAATTAAAACTGATTCGCCGTGAAATTAATGGATCCAGTTTGTCAATAAGCTCATTGGTATTTCAACAATAAGGTGAATCAACGCATAAAAAATAGCCTAATCATTTGAGACTTTTTTTGAATGTTTTTTTCTTTGCTCTTCAGTAAATTGTATTATGTTATCGTTAAATGTTAATCAGCCAAGAAAATGATGATCATTTGCAATTAGTATAATGATGGTGTTGATGGTGATGATGATGATGAGTTCAATGATGCTATATGTATGTTAACATTAAGCACAATAGTAAATATAAACCTAAATTTTCAAACAATCGAGTGAGAAGATGAACAACAATGAATGATGATGATGAGACTCCGTGAAGCCCAAATTTAGGGTTCATTTTTGGCAAAAAGCCTTAATTCTGGAAAGACAATTAGAAACAGCAGGATTTTATGTCAATTGGCCCAAATTGAAATCAGATTGTTTTCAAAATCAGTTGAACCTTCAAAGTAACTTTCCAGTTTAAGTGCCTCTCCAGTGATACATATCATTAATAAATGTAGCCCTTACATTTATAAATAATAACAAACTGTACAATAAAGTCCGTAAATTGTTGATCATCAAAATGAAAGTAAATTAGTCAGGAAAGTTGGGTTACAATCAACCTCCAGAATCTGTAGTTTGGGTGCAAGCTGAATCAACATAGGCCATAGAGTAAACATTAAAAGCTGTTGCGGTAAACTCACATTGTAAAACAACTGACGGCTTGGGTGATAAGAAGATCAAATAAACTGGACAATTTTACTGTGAATATTTGATGGAAGGACGATTAGAAAAAGATAAAAGACTATTTTGCGGTAAAATTCTGCGTAAATAGCTTGAGTGACTGTATTTAGATTATTGAATGAAGTTTTCAATTTGATTGAAATCTTTAAAAATGTTGAAAGACTTTCAATTTTTAGGAGATCAGTTCTTCAGGAAAATCCATCTTCTAGATAAAATTGATTCACTGATTTCACTTTCGTCTCGACTAAATTTTTGACTATTTGGATTAAAACGATTAAAAAATTACATCGAAATGACTCTAAACTGCTTTTAACAATAGGTAATGCTAACAATAAACTATCAAATTAAAATGTAACCCTATTGTATTATGTATCTTGGACAGCCAGTATTGTCCAGAAGTAGAGTTATATTACGTTGGTTAAAAGTCATAACAATTCAGATAAAGCTTAGTTTTTTTCGTCTTCAAAATTGAGCATAAAAATGTTACACAGAGGATCCTCCATAATATTCATAATATTATAATAATATAATAACAAAAAATCCATCACACTAGATCCTTGGCCAATCCATTGCTCGCTGTGTATGAATATCTTTGAAGTTTATTCAGTTAGTTTTGTCTAGACTATTCACATTCCATTTACTAGTTCTATTTTTAAGTTACGTCATAAGGAATATAAAATTATTACTTACAATATTGTATTGTAATAGTGAAGCTAAATCTAAAAATCGAAATTTTTTGTTTATTTCCAGTGCCGATTTCAGTATCAACCGATTATTGAGAGGACTTTTTTATCTGAGACAATTTAATCATCATTTCATCACGCCATTTTCGTTTTTCATTCAAGGTTTCCATAGGCACTTTCTTATTCATCGCCTCGATGATTTTTTCAGCTGTTGGTCCTTCCATCTTCTTGACTGGCTTGAATGTAGATTGAACATCAAAAATTCCTTGAGCATATTTTTCAAAATACTCAGTCATTCCATTGGCATTCAAATGAGCAGTTTCCCATGGACCTGTGAAAGCATATCTCATTCCGAGTCCTTCAGACATAACAGCATCTAAATCTTCGACACTAACCACATCATCTTCAATTAATCGATAAGCCTCAGCAAAAATGGCATCTTGAATACGATTAATAATGAAGCCAGGAACCTCTTTCTTAACGACAATCGGCTTTTGACCAACTTCAGTTAAAATAGCCTTGGCTCTAGTGACTATTTCTGGTTTAGTCCATGGTGAGGGAACCAATTCAGTCAATGGAGCGAAATAAGGTGGATTGACAGGGTGATTAACGAGAGCAGATGATCGATGTCTAATGTGTCCCATAAATTGAGATGGAGGTATGAAACTGGTTGAGCTGCACAGGATGGGGTCACATTTGAGCATGCTATCGATATGTTTGAACACTTTCTGTTTCAGAGCAACATCTTCAAAAACACATTCCTGTAAAATAAAATGAAAAAGACATCATTTAAATAAACCTATCATACAATAACATCTGAAAGTAAAACATTAGACAAACAGTTAATTTTAATGTTGAAAATATTTTGTTTTCTCAGTAACTATATTTCCACAACACATTGTCGCCATTTCAATTTCAAGTTTGATTTCAACTCTCAATCAGAGCTATTCAAACTGAATCAATAGGTTGTAACATTCAAATCTATTCGTAAAGGTCAAATTTGTTACTTACTTGAACCCAAAAAACATCTTGCAAGACCTCAGACATTGTTGTTGCTCCACTGATCAATGCAGCTTGTTCTGAGCCTGACAAATTACCACGAAGAAGTTTCTTTGATTCCAAATTATTAAGTTGATCAACGATTGATTTGATGGCAGTAATGACTTTCTCCGGTTGATTATCATACATTTGAACACGATAGCCAGCAGAGACAAAAATCATTGCCCAGCTTTGTCCAATCAGACCACTGAATATTGAATAAGAATAAAGTTTTTTTGTTATTAGCGGCGAAGATAAACAATAGAACTGTTTACTTACCTTCCAATAATTGCAACCTTTTCCTTAGAAGCCATTTTCAGATTTTCAATTTATTTCAACACCGAAGGGTCATTTTAACTATATCTGCTGCATTTTGTGCTTAATAACCCTTTTGCTCTTTCTATTTAACGTATTCTACGGATAATTGCTAGAAACAAATTCAGAGAATTGGTGTAGTAACAGTGATAATTGAAAAAAGGGTGAAACTCCATCAACCAGATATCAATTCGTTGCTAACTTCCACAAACGCTACGTTTTTAAGGTTATTTTATCTTTGAAATTGTCATAAACATCTTTTATTGTGATTAACTTGATTATGTAAAAGCCCAGAATCTAGATCAGTAGTCCTCAATTCACATTGCAAGTTTACATTACATGTCATTGCAAGAGTAATTGCCACTTTATTGCCTGGAAACGCCTAAATTTGAGAGAGTTGACTGTAAATCATTTTGATCAGTGCGTTTAAATTAAGTTTGATCAAGTATAAAACCAGAAAGGCTTGCAAGTCGTTAATTTTTTATCAAAAATTGGTTGGAAATTATGTTTCCAAGTTTTGCGCCTTAAAAATTACGCGGAAGATTTCAAAAATTGGACTGTATTAGTATATGAACACATAATAGATGAAATATAATTTAAAACAATTTACAATTGTTAGCTAACAACAGAAAATTAGAGATCTCAATCGATGCATTTATCAAGTTTTCTTATTTATCATTAGATGGCGGTGAGCTCTCTTTAGTAACCAAGCAGGATTATTTGTTTAGTATAACCATGGAGGTGGAATTTGGTGGTTACTGGTTTTACTAACCATCTAAACATTAACCATCTCATCTCTAATTGTAAATATCAAAATGACCTACAGTAAACGCAATTGTATCATCAGTGGCCTTATCGGAGGTGGATTAATTCTCTCACTAAGTGCCATTCTTACTTACCTTTTATCTCCATATCTTATAAAGTACATCGTATCACAGGTATTTATCAAAATCTTTGCCATTTTCCATTGCAGTGTAAGTCAGAGTTAAAAAGTTAACAAAAGTAAGTAAACAAAAAAGAGTCAGACTTGGATTGTTATTCAGTGTCCCCATTGTCGGTTTTGTTAACTTAACTCTGACTAATACTCTATCTATACCACTTTTTTATAGAGAAGCTCTTGTTTGAGGGGCTCTTTGTATTTTTTTAATAACCCTTTTTGTTTTTCCAATGCATTAATACTCGTATCATTGTGTTGGGCCTTGTTTTGAACTATTAGAAGTTTCTTAAGTAATTTAAGAGAGAGTATTTATTATTAGATTAGGTCCGAAAGGGACAAAGATGCTAAAACATGAATACTTCATCTTCAGTATCTTAACCTACATTTCTACTCTCTCTTGTTTGTTGTTTAACTATCACTTCTTGAAGTCTGTCAGTTCTTTTAAACAACCAAATTTCCTGGTCATTCAACCTTTTAATGTAATCTCATTTAATTTCAGAGGCTGATTCTTTCTTCTCCAAGCTCCGATGTGTATTCTGGTTGGAAATTAGCACCAATTCCGATCTATGTTAAATTTTACTTTTTTAATGTGACTAATCCTTCAGCGATTGTTGCTGGAACCAGTGAACCAATCCTTCAAGAATTGGGTAAGAAATTTTCCTTTTGCTTAGTAAAGGGACCAATTATGGAGTTAAATTGTTTAAAAATTGAAGACATTTTGATACCAATTAACAATATCAAATCAAATCCCATTTTTACTTGAGATAAAATAATATCTATCGATTCTTCAATAACCAGAAAATACAATTGTTACAAAAACCTTCCATAAGTGTTATTTTATCAATAAGATACATAATATACAATCTAGTGTGACAATTAATTACGCAATTTGATATTTGCTAGCGCTTCCAACAGTATTGTCACTTCAATGTTAATACCAATCGTTTCGATAAGTAGTTAGCTTTGTCATTATCATTTGATACAAAAGAGACAGTTTCTTCTTTTTTAATATTTACTTGATTTTTCCTTCACTTCTCATTTGCTTAATAATCAAATTATCTTTAACTTATCAATAATATCAGAAATTGTTCACAATTTATTAATCTTTTTCTAAACATATTAGAAAAATTTATCATCATTAACTATTGTCAATTGTCAAGCTTTAACTACTACTTAAATTGACACTTTCAAGGTTGCTACAAGTTTTTGCGAGGTTAGAACTTCTTTCCTCAATCACAACTTGAATTTATTTTGATTAAAATTCAAGTTGATTCTCAATAATCAGTTATAATAGACTATGGCATTCAAATTCTCAGTATTTATTTATCTAAGAATTGCAGTTTTTTAACCCTCTAAGAGGGTAAGCGGTTTATTCAATTTGATTAAATTATACATAAAGACTTAAAATTTGCAATTTGAATTTAATAGTCTTGATTAGACTTTTTGCGAGGCTTAAAAGCATCATATCAATCATGTTAAGGATAACAAGGATAATATGGTTAAAAGTTGTTGAGAATTATCTATAATTTGTATGCTTTCACTTTATATCAACTTAATATTCAAACAATCATTAATTTTCTCTTTTTTCTCATTTCAATTTAGGTCCATACACTTTTTTAGAGGTTCGTGAAAAAATCAATGTAACATGGAATCATGAAGATGGTTTAGTTTCATATCAACAACTTGCTCGATATTATCCGATTCCGGAAATGAGCGTTGGAAGCCTTAATGATAGTATATTTCATTTGAATGTACCATTAGCTGTAAGTTCATGATAATTGAGCATTTATATTGATTTATATCATCATGCAATTTTGTTTTTCTTTATTTCTCCTCTTTAGAGTATGTTAAGTCGAGCCAAAAGGAAAGATGATGATCTAGTTTACGGTTTTATTGAACAAGTTGCCGTTGGAAATGGCGATGATTTGTTTCTTAAGCACACTGTTGGCGAAATACTTTTCAATGGATATCACGATGATCTTCTGGATTTTATTGAAGGCGCTGGCCTTTCTCCTGTGAGTGTTAGTCCGTTCAGCTTTTTTGGAAATCGTAATAACACCAACACGGATGGACATTTCACCATTTACTCAGGGGAAAAGGGCACTCTTGATAAATTTGGCCTTATTCATTCTTGGAATAATGAGAGAAAATTGGACATTTGGAATGATGCTAAATGTAATTCCCTTGAATCCACTTGGCCTGGTGATCTCAGGCCTCCTTATGCATCCAATGATCTGGAAGAAATTAAACTCTTTGCACCTGATCTTTGCAGGTAAATAAACCTGTTGTTTTCCTGGAAACTCAACTTGAGATGATGATTGTTATCTAGGTGCAAAAATCTTCTCATTGCAGAAAGCTGTTATTAAATAGTTTCCCTAAATTGTCGAGATACTCTAAGCATCAGTAATTAGTGACTATAACCTTGGAAAACCTTTCATTCTATCGTCATCATGTAAATATTTAATAGATAATGATGATTAGTTTCAGTTTCATTTCATCACATTTTTCATGCAGTTCAAATTGTTTGTTTGTTTGTTTTTTCATAAAGTTAACTTGCGATTAGATGCTTGTAATTTGGTTAATCTTAGGAGATCTTCTGGCAGGCATTAATTAGCAATATAATCTTTTATATCTTTCATTAGCCTTAAGTTATTGCTGAATTGATAAAATTTAATTATATTTTTGCGTTTAGTTTATCAGATTTATTATCATTTGTTCACCATAAGATAGTTTTTGAAAAATCAATCTTTGGTTAAATTGTTGCAGAAAAATTTACTTTGTAACAACGGAATAGGATGTGATGATTGAAAAACAATCAAACTAAATCTTGTCTCTAAGCTAAGCATCATCATCATCAATTGAGTCTTGATTGAAATTTTGTATTTGTTCATGAAACCTTGAGAATTGTGAATAAATTGAATAAAAACAGCCATTAAGTAAATATTAGGAGTCTTGAAATGACTAGTTTCTCACCTCATAAGGAAGACAAAATTAGAAATTCACTCACCATTTCATCTCAATCAGTAATTAACAATTAGTTTGATCATATTTTTCTTGTTCATACATTGTTGATCACAATTGAATCGCAAATTTATCTCAAGTAAACACTTGAAGCTAATCAAATTTTTTTTTCTCTTTCCATTTAGGTCATTAAGCCTTAGCTACCTCACTCGAAAATCAACCAAAGGAGTCGAAACAATTAGATATTGGGCAAGTCCGAGTCTCTTCGACTATTCATTGCAAAAAAATAAATGCTATTGCCTTGACTCGAGGTAATTATTAAAAAGTTTCCCTAATCGACCCTTTATACCAGCACAAAAACAATAACAAAAATAATGATAATTATCTCTGAAATTGGCATAAATGTTATTTCAATGAAATTATTCAAAATTGCCAGTCAAATGTAGTCAAATCAGAAACCTTGTGAATTGATTTCGTTAAAATCAGGAATCACTTGTCATAAAAATGGTTTCAATATGATTTTGGAAAAAACGATTTCTGCTAATCTTTCTTTTTATTTTACCGATCCAATTTATCTAACCATCTGAACCAGTTCAATTAGTGTTTCTTTTTTCTAATTTTTTCTTTATTTCATTCCATTTAATCAGTTGCCCACCCAATGGTATTTTCAATACATCAATTTGTACTCATGGTTCACCTGCATCAATCTCGTTTCCCCATTACCTGTTTGCTGATCCAGTTTACACCGATAATATTCAAGGTCTTCACCCGGATCCAGAGAAGCACATATTTTACATGGACCTCGAACCTGTATGTTATTTTCATCGAAAGCAAATTATTTCAATGAATCTCCATTATTTATAGACATTAATTTGGTTATTTTTTTCTCTATTCTTAGAATCTTGGAATACCTGTTGAGACAAAGGCTCGAATTCAAGTTAATATGATGCTTGAAAAAGATGACAAAGTTGACTTCACTGAAAATCTCACAGCTTCTGTTAACTTACCCATTTTTTGGAGGGAAACTGTAAGATTCCATATGCTTACCATGTGTTCATTAATTGATGCTAATTTTTTTCTCTTTTCTAGTCAGCTACAATTGGTGATGATCTTCTCAGCCAATTAATTTTACTCCAAAAACATGTTCCTAATATAATTATTATTGCAACGTTTGCTCAAGTTGCTATTGCAGTTGCCTTACTCGTGGCCACATTAATTTGTATCATCAAAATGAATACTGTAAGTGTTTCCAATATTTATATACTTTACTCATTTATCTTGTTTGTGTTATTTATCTTATTGCTTATTCTTCTTTTTTGTTGATTTAGATAAATGAACTCGTTTCAAGGAGTTCAAGACCATCCAAGCCATTCCGACATACTCGACCCTCTAAAAAAGAGTACAAAACTGTTATGACAACGAGTTTTCAAAATTGATGTTGACTATGCAAGGAAATTTGTCATTTTCCGGACCTTTTTATCGTGATTGTTCAAAATGCTCTTAAACTCTATTTTCTGCTCTTTTCCTACAAACATATCGCCATAATTTAATTACTCACTTTGCATTTCTCAATCTCTTGCCTTAGTAACCTCATCTTGACCATCAATTTTTCAATATCAACAATGAAAATTCAGACACACAAAAAAATCAAAGCTGCTAATTTTCATGTTCATCTCACTATCCTTGGAAACGTCTATCGCATGGATGCCTTTACTCATTTTTAAGTGAAAAACAACTCAAAATGTTTCATGTGATGCAATTTTTTCCGTCAAATCAAACTAGAATCATTTTTATAGCCAATTTCAAAGGACAGATTTTTTTATTGCATTGAGCATCATTTGTTTTTTGGATAAGTCTTCATTAGATATAATTGTTCACTCACAAAATTGATCAAAAAACTGGTTAAATCTTTTTGATGTGTACATTGAAAGAAAGAACGAAAAGGTTTACAAATTTTCCTATCATTATTACTGCTCAATTTTTATAACCAAATTGGATTGTAAATAGTAATTTTAATAAAGACTTAACTATCAAGAGTTGTGTCTATTAATTGTGAATGGAATCGACTAAACCTTTCAAAAATCACTCAGTTTTAGAAGCTATTTATGTGACGCTTCACAAAAAATTGAATCGGTCTAGCAATTTAGATGTTAGGGTTTAACTCACTCATGTATGCAAGTCATATGATGATAATTAATAATGAATAATAAATAATTTATTGAATAACTGTCAGAGGTGAAACAAAAAAATAAGGGTTTGTATCAACGATTGAAAAATCAATTTCTAACCCAAGCTTTTCCTTTCTCGATCGATTTAATTAATCATTGGGTTTGACTTTATCATCTAGACTATTTGATTATTTCATTGTTTGATAAATTTTGCCAGTAAATCGATTGGTAATGGAAATATGATTGATGCGTTTTTTTCTGCCGAAATTGTGTTCAATGTTTGAAGATAACGTAATTGAATTGCGGCTGGGGATTGAGAGATTACTTCAGCAGCTTCCTTCAAGGCTCGAGAGGCTTTCTGTTCCCCTTCAGCAGCAATTACCTGTTAAAATAGCAATTCATTAATAAATCAATTTGTAAAGTACACTTGCGAGGTCACATTTTCAATTTGAAAGGTCAACCAAAAAACAAAACTCACTTTTGCTCGAGCTTCTCGGGCTGCTTCTGCCTCGGCTGCCATGGCTCGTTGTAATTGAACAGGCAAACGCACATCCGTACTATTAATGATACAGCAATTAGATTAATCTTAAGACAAACAATTTACTTACATTTCAGTTCGCTCAACTTTGATTCCCCATCGTTCAGTAGCCTCGTCTAAAACAGTCTGAAATTGAGAAAAATATTTTAACAAATGAATTTGATTCCTCAAAATCCAAAAATAAAAAATCGATTCAACCTGCGTCTATTAATATCTAATAATAAAATAATTTGAATCTTTGATAAAGTCAAATATACAAATTAAACATTTAACTAGAAAATTAGACTAAATTATGAAAAGACATGCAATATTGGGAATCCTAATATTTCATCTTCTATTCCCATTTTAAGGTAAATACACTTCTTTTCGTTTGCTTACCTGCATTGAAGTTGAAATTGATTCGCGACTTATGAGAACCTCTTGAAGGTTGAAAGTGCCAAGGATGTTACGAAGTGTTGTTTGAGCCAGAAGTCGAGTTGAATGATGGGCATTTTCAACATTGGATATTGAAACTGTTGCATTGAAAACTCGATAATAAACAACAGCATCAACCGAAACTGTAACCGAATCTTTGGTCAGTACTTCTTGTGGCGGAACATCAAAGGTTAAGGTTCTCAGGTCAACTTTGGTATAATTTTCAATGCAAGGTAAAATGATGAATATACCTGAATCAAAAGAAAGGAAAAAGATCGATAAATATCTTGATAAAGTAGCTCGAGGAAGACTCGGCCTCTATGGAAATTTAATGTTGTCATTTTACAATCGAAACATGATAATTAGAAATGATATTAAAAGCAAATATATTTGCTAAAATAAGGTTACATTAAACATTGATTTGATCATCACTCATTAATGAGTTTCAGCTAGAAAAGCTGAAGGTTAGTTGAGTTTAGTTGATTCAAAAAAGGCTCTTCAAAACTCTTTCTTCAATAAAAAAAATTAAATCAATTTAAAGCAATGATCGCGTTAATTGTCAGTTTAAAACTCATTTATAATTGAAGAAATTTCGAGAAATAAAATCAATAATTGTCTAAAAATAATGTTAATTTACAAGAAAGTGCAAAATTTTTGAAAATCAAACGCAGGAATGGTTAACGATTCGATATATTGATTTTTGAGTTAGATACTATTGATCTTGTTTAAGACAAGTTTCGTGTAATACAGATTTTTAATGCTAGCAAAGTCAAATGAAATAAACATCAATAAATCTTATTTTTTTCATTTAAAATCCTCTTTTTTTCGAAGTTCAAGGTAAACCTGAAATTAACCGATCCAGACAATATAGTCTGAGAGACTTGGATTATACGTGAACCAAGGCAGCTAGGAAGCTTAGCTTGAAGAGGAACAAGAAAATATTATGAAATTGGATTGTCGACGGCATTTCGGGACCAGTAATTTACCCAATAACGCTTACATCTTACTGCCATCTTACACTGGAAAACATTCCTATCTCTATACACACTAATCATTGAGCATTTATGTTAAGGGAATTCATTCTCAAGATTCTCGTGGTTCTTTCTCGTGCAAAGTATTTTTTTGTGTTGAGTGAAAACTGAAAATTCAAGATTCACTGGTCAATCTTTTTTGCTTTCAAACCAGAACATTAAAAGCAAAATTATATGCAACATATCCAGTAAACATCGGTTCAAGTGAAGTTAAAATCATCTTAATTTCTAGCCTCATTAAAGCTACTTTGAAAATGTTTAAATCACAACCAAATTTTTGATCTGGTAGCAGTTAGCGATAATAACAATAATATCATTTGATAGCTAAATAAATTTTACATAAAATACAATAATTCAAAGCGAGAATGATCAATGATCATCAGTAATCAATGTCAAATCCAATGTCTAATCCTATCCTAACAATGGTCTAACATTGATGCCTAAATATTACCAATAGTTCTTACCTGGTCCTTTAGCTCCACCGTCCAGTAAACGTCCCAATCTGAAAATAACGGCTCTTTCATATTCTTGGACCACTTTAACACAGAAAAATAATGATAAAGGCAAGGTGAGGACAGCAAATATGACTGAAACAATTGTCAATAGGTTGGCACATAGATCATGAGCTTCTTCGCCGTCATTACCTATTGAGCCTGAAGCAAAAAATTGTTCATCAACAGTTAATAAATTAGAGTTACACTTTCATTTTACTTACCAGTTTCTTGAATTTCAAATCTTTGCAAAGCCATTTACAGTGGTCAGTTGATTATTGATGTAATAACATTTTAAACCTCACTCTGGACATTACTTTGTTCAACTTTTTTTCTTCTCGTTAATGTTCCAATCATTTTTTTCTTGATTCTCACTCAATTGATGGTTACCATAACGGCGATTCTTTCAATAACAACAGGTATTATTGATCACTATATTGGAAATGAATAAATTCAATTTATTACTTTTTAACTTTAAACTCAATGACAATTAGACATTTCCCTTTTGTTTCCTAAAGGTCCGCAAACAACCATTCATAAGACTGGGATCAATGAAAGTTAATCATAATTCATAATTCATCTTTTGACAGGTTTCATTGATTTTTTAATCGTCCAAATCTTTTAATTATTCAATAAATATTTAAACATTGAAGATCAAAGAAGTACAATCAATGATAAATGGTTTCCAGCCACAAAGCAACCCTTTCCCTTGAACGCAAAGATGAAACACTTTTAACCAGATTTTTGCAGAATCCAATTTTGGGTTTACTTTTAACAAGTTTGGGTTAAGTTGTTAAAACACTTCATTTTCACTTAATTGCAAGTTTGTCAGGTTGGCCTCAGATCAAGTAACAGATCTCAGGCCTCAGATCTTAACAAGATTGTATTATCATATTAAACCAAGTGTTAGTGAAGTTAATTAGGAAAATGTTTCCATTTAGAAGTGAGCTCGAGATTGGATACTACAAGAATCTGGTTTAAGAGCTTGTTGGTTGGTTTGGATAGGGTTACAATTTTCTCAGCAGCTTCTTTTTGTCATTGAATACTCTGTAAATCATTAAAGATTATTTATTCCAGCAACCCAAAGTTTCCAACTTGTAATCTGTCTTAGATGGAAGGATAGTTTCTAGAGCAAGTATTAGTTTTTAAGATACTGACCAAGATATTAATCAATATTACCTGTTGACAGTTATCCATGATTGATTGAAAGTATTTTTGTGACTCTTGTTATGGTTACCATTTTAAAATGGACACAACTGCGATCAGACTAAGATATTTCTTGTAAATCAAATTGAAGGTTAACTATGTATTTTAATGAAAAGGAATTGAAAAACAATCAATTTAAACAGGAAAAATAGCTTTTCATTCTTCTCAATTGATCACAAATGGGCAAAAACTGGTAGAAATTAATTTCTTTCAAATTTAGACTCTGTTGGTTTGTTGGGAAATAATGAATAATAAATAAATACATGAAATAAAACTTTGTATTTCTGTAAAACAGATCAGTTCGATTTGCAGTCAAACCCACCGTATTCTTTGACCGTAAGATTTAGCAAGCTGAAAGTTACTATCCGTCCATAAACATGGTTTATACACATCATGGGTCAAATACTTTTTTCAATTTATCGATGATTCTCTTGATTTTGGCCATTGGCCTTAAAACTTTGAGCCTCAATATTTCGAGTATGGTTGCACCTAAAATCATCATTCTTTCACTAATTTAATGTTGCATTTAGTAATTTTCGTAACAAAATTATTTTCTAGTTTGTCTTTTATTCGAATTAGTTGCCGATTTCTTGGTTTGAATAATCCGGTTGTTTGGGTTGAAAAGCAAACTTCTTCTTCGAATCATTGATTGGGTTGGTGATATGTAACGGATTGGATGTTCAGCTGGTTTGAAAAGCTTTTTTCCTGGTGAAGTTGGAAACATTGATAATGAATGAGAAGCTGAGTTAATTATCGATTTCCTTTTGGGTAACACTTGATCGGACGGTTCACAACAAGTTACACAAAAATGTAATTTATGAACCAGAAATCTAGATATTTTCGGAATATGAATCAAAATGGAGAAACCAAACCATGTTGCGAGACAAGAGCCAATTTGAACCAAACAATCTAACCAAGTCATTTTCGGCTCATAATCAACACTAATGATTGGCTCTACTATTGAATCCAAGACAAAAGTACCAAAGTCACCAAAAATAGCAACAGGTGCTCTTCCTTGAATAAAATAAGCAGTACGTGAGCAATCAGGCTGTGAATTGAGTCTGAAACATTCATCGACAATGGAATTGATTAGTTTTCGATAAGTAATGTTATTATAATTTCGTTCATAACACTCAGCAGCAAAAGGTAAATCCCAGTGAGAGGATTGAAGGGATAATGGATGTGGACAGCCAGTGATTTGGACTGTTTTTCGAGTCAAACACTCATCCAAAACACCATCTCTTGAAGTATAATTATTATCTGTTTTGATTCGAGCATAATTGCGACAGTTTGTCAAATATGGAGGAGGGAGAAGATTCAATTGAACTGTTTTAAGGTGATAGCGGAAAGCGCGTGGATAGTCTGTCATTGTTTGTACATCCATCTTACAAGAAGGACTGACTGGAAGGGTTGTGGGTAAAGTTGCTCCGATGAAAACATAATCAACAGAACGAAAGAATGACTGACGGAATTCGAGGAGAAACAATTCTGGTGGAACTGGATCTTTGTAAAAGTCGTTGGTTGTAGTAATGATTGGCCCATCAAGTGAACACACAAACACAAAGCACACCATGAATGCACGATAAAAGAGTCTAAAGTCACATAAATCAGTTATCTTCTTGTTTAAAGCATGACGTATATTGAGGCCACCAAAAAGCTCATCAGTGGTGTATAAACATTCAGTTACTTGACGAAGGGAAAGGTACTGCGTAATTGCAATGGATACATTTCTCACAGAAGATCGAGTTAATAATTGATCTTTTATTGACTGTTGTGGCGTTGAAAGAGGCACACGAGACAAACCAAAGGCCGTAAGCAATTGTGGATATCTTTGGAAGAGGAGAGTAAAGTTGAGGAATGATATGAAATCACTGCAAAAGAAGAAGTCAGGAAGCTTGGTTTCATCTGGAACATTAAATATGGTAAAAGTCAGATACTCAAAGGCTGCATAGCGAAACAAAACGTAGGAAAGTTGTATCATGAAACCAAGAACACATAAACATTTGAAAACATCATTCAGTATGTTGGTCACTCGATCAACACAATGATCCCTTGATTTTGTTTCAACAAGTTCTTCCATTGGAAACGGAGAGACAATTTACATGGAAACTCATCTCAGTGATCATTCAAATAAATGAACAAAATACTGGATTACACTTACCTGATAAGTTATTGAAACAAATAACATGTAAATCGCCTAGCTTGTATTGTTTTTCCCATGTGAACCAAACATTTGCTTGTGAGACGCGAATTGGTAGTTAATAGTTAGTGGAAGAAAATAAGCAATTGTAAAAGTTAATTGTGGGTTTATTCGCGAATAGAAATCAATTTCATATTATTGAACTGAAAATACAATATAAAGATTGTGAGTTTATGAAGACAATTCATGAGTGTATCTGTAACAAGTGTATCTATTAAACGTCGCCCTTTCAATTTATCCTGTAGTCGTGTTTTACCAAGTGATGATCGACTCTATTCACCACAATCAGTTTAACCGATCGCATTCTGTGACCATAAGTTTTAGCAAGCTGAAAGTTAGTATCCTTTCATGAAAATTGTTTATACACATCATGGGTCAAATACTTTTTTCAATTTATCGGCAGTTCTCTTGATTTTGGCCATTGGCCTAAAAAGTTTTAATCTCGATATTTCGAAAACGGTAGCAGCCACAATCATCATTCTTTCGCTAATTTAACACTTTAATAATTAGTAATTCAATACAATTCAATAACTTTCCATTCGCGTATTTGGTTCATGATTTTTGGGTTGTAATTGTGCGAGAAACAAGCTTATTCAACAAACAAAACTCATCTCAACCCATTTCTTGGTTTTTAAACCATTTTTCTGGTTAAGCTTACAAATGAAATGCAAAGAATGCTGCCAAAGGCTCGAACGTTTGAGTTAAGAGTTGAGACTTGATGGAGTTTGTAGGGAAGTAGAAACTAAGTCTTTTGGTGCTATTTAATAATTCATCCGATGGACTATCTCGGAGAAAATCGAGATCAAAGTTGAAACTTCGATTGGTCTTTTTTCAGCTATGGAGTCAGATTTTTTGATGAAACTCTTGTTTACTGATGTTAATTTTTATAATAAACTAGAAAATGCACTTAAATACATGAAATAAAACTTTGCGTTTCTGTAAAACAGATCAGTTCGATTTGCAGTTAAACCGACCGTATTCTTTGACTGTAAGAGTTAGAAAGCTGAAACTAGCTATTTGTTGCTAAAAGTTGTTTGCTCACATCTTGGATTGAATACTTTTTTCAATTTAGCAACAGGTCTCCGGATTTTGGCCATTCGAATGAAAAATTTGAGTCTAGATATTTCGACAATGGTAGCACCTAAAATGATTAGTCTTTCTCCAAACATTATGTTTCATTATGGGCTATAACGCAATGTCATAATAAATTATTCAAGACTCTACAAAATAAGTTATAGCAATTTAATACTTATGTTGTCAAGTTAGAGACTAGATTTCTAAAGTTGAATGGTTACTAAACTCAAACCCCATTAATTAGAAGAATATTCATTATTAATTGAATTGATTTATATTATATTATAGCCCATAACAAAACCCAATGTTTATCTAAAAATGATTATTGTGGCTGCTACCGTTTTCGAAATATTGAGATCAAAACTTTTTAGGCTTAAGGCCAAAATCAGGAGAACTATCAATAAATGGAAAAAAGTATTTGATGCATGATGTATACAAACAATTAACATGGACGAATGATAAGTTTGAGCTTGCTTAACCTCACGGTCACAGAATGCAGTCGGTTTAACTTTAAATCGAACTTGATCTGTTTTACAGAAAAAGAAAATGGTATTTCTCTGTATAAGACCATTTTCTGATTCATCATCTAAAGATAGTTCGCTAAAATTAGTTATTTGGGAAAATCTTGCTCCATAGCTGAAAAAAGACCAATCGAAGTTTCAACTTTGATCTCGATTTTCTCCAAAATAGTTCATCGGATGAATTATTAAATAGCACCAAAAGACTCAGTTTCCACTTCCCTACAAACTTCACCAAGTCTCAACTCTTAACTCAAACGTTCGAGCCTTTGGCAGCATTCTTTGCATTTTATTTGTAAGCTTAACCAGAAAAATGGTTTAAAAACCAAGAAATGGGTTGAGATGAGTTTTGTTTGCTGAAAAAGCTTGTTGCTCGCACAATTACAACCCAAAAACCATGAACCAAATACGCGAATGGAAATTTATTGAATTGAATTGAATTACTAATTAATAAAGCATGAAATCAGTGAAAGAATGATGATTGTAGGTAAAACCATACTCGAAATATTGAGGCTCAAAGTTTTAAGGCCAATGGCCAAAATGAAGAGAACTATCGATAAATTGAAAAAAGTATTCGACCCATGATGTGTATAAACAATTTTCATCGAAGGATACTAACTTTCAGCTTGCTAAACCTTATGGTCACAGAATACCGTCGGTTTAACTTCAAACCGAAGTGATCTGTTTTACAGAAGCGCAAAGTTTTATTTCGTGTATTCAAGTGCATTTTCTGGTTTATCATAAAAAGTAACATCAGTAATATGAGTTTCATAAAAAAATCTGCTTCCATAATTGTACAAACAGAGATGCACGTTTCAACTTCGAACTTGATTTTCTCGAAATCTGTCCACCGGAGATATTTTTCAATAGCACTACTGAATTCAGTTTACATTTCCCTACAATGCTACAGAGTCTAAATTTGCTATAAATTAATTTTTACCCGTTTTTGCCCATTTTTCTTTCACTATGCGTGTCTGTTTGTGCATAAATGTTACAATTGTGTTTATTGTGTCTTTGTAGCAACAAGCCTTTATTATTCTTATGATTTCATCTGATTTTTAACTTAACTTTTATCATCCTTGATTCTATAACGGAGAGTATTGAATACGTTTCTTTAAAGCTTAACTAAATTAATGTTTAACTTGACAAAACCCATTTATGGCTCAAATTTGACTATTAATACAATTTTGTAACCAAAGACTATCGTTTAATGTTTTATTCACTGGCAATTAGATAATTTTTTATTCATGGTAATAATTTATGAGTTTATCTGTTTTTTACTTTGCCATTCCATACTCATGAGTATTGTAAATACTTTAGAAACATCAGATGATTTATTTAACGATTTGGATGATAACATGGTACCAGAAGAACTGTTGCAACAGCCTAACAATCTGGATGCCCAAGTAAGCATTTGGTTCAATGAGATTGATGTTTATACCTCAAATATAACCGGTCAAGTACATAGAGTATCAGCTTCTAATATAAATAACTACATTGGACTTTATTTTATCATCGAGCAACCTAAAAATGGCTCAGCAGGAATCAACCTTCTTCAACATCATGTTCGTATTCTCAACAGTTACTTGAGCAAAATTGGATTTCTTTCCTTCATTATTGGAGTCGCCCATGTTCCATCTTTACCATCAAATCTGACAAAGGTTAACGGGGAAAACTTGGTAAAAGGGACTCATGATAAATTAAGCGATCTTTTAAAGGATCAGCATTTTGATGCCATCATAGTGGTTTTTGTGTTTTTTCAGAAGCTATCGACATTTTCAGAGTCCAAACTTGATCTGTGTACAACTACACAGATACCTACACTGTATTGGCGTTACAACCATAAACATAAAAATTTAAATAGAGATGATGATCTATGGATTGGGATTGTGCGACTTCTTGGTGGCTGTAATAATTATTGTATAAAACCTGGAAACGAAGACCCTTGTTATATCTTCGAGGAAACTCCTGCTAAATCCGTTTCTGGTGAACTGAACAAATGTTTAATCAAGCAAATTCGCGCAAAGAACCATACTTGCGCCAAATTAGCTCCAGAATATGTTTTGATTCCAGTTTGTGGCAATGGGATTGTTGAAGATGCTGAAGGTTGTGATTGTCTGGTTCTAGCAGAATGCGGTTCTCAATGTGATACTAAATGTACTCCAAAAATTGGCTCTGAAAATTCTGCTTATCACTACTTTTTTCTAATCATCGCAGCTTTATTCATTTTATTCGTTATCGTAATGTCAAGTTTTTACATCTTTGTGTACTTTAAAAAATTGAGTGCTTATGAAGCTCGAAGCTCAGTCATGTCGATTATACCTGGAGAATCTAAATTGGAATTGAGTGGCCGCAAGTCCAAAGTAAATTCAAACTTGGAAGCAATTCAAATAAATGAGGCAAAATTGAAATCAGTAAAGAAACCTTCGAAAACGCAACTTCAAAGTGAACTGTCAAGCTCGAAAACCGATTCCAACTCATCCAAGACATTTGATACAAAAAAATCGCACCACTCGTCTGTCAAATCAATTAGCAAATCAAGATTATCGAGTAAAAATGCAACATCAAATGTAACAACATCAAGTGCAACAACATCGCATGCAACAACAGCAAGTCAAACGTCCGAAAGTAAATCACAGAAATGAATTGGACAGACAAGTTGACTGTTGAGTCTTGTTTCTGATTTTGATCTGGACAAAACTGGCCAATCATTTTGCTACTGTCCTCTGTAGGCATACGCCTTCCGAGTTAATTTTTACCCAAAATTCTTATTAAATTGAAAGACAAACAAATCAATGTAACCTTATTTATCAAATATATTTTTGCTTTTCATATCATGTCTAATTGGTAATTACTCAATGACTTAACATTAAATCTCCATAGAGGTTTAGTCTTTCTCGAGATTCTGGTTTTATTGATCTAAAATCTCGTCTTAATTTTCATTTAAGGCATATTTATCATCTAAGAATTTTATGAATTTAGACGACATTTATGCATCTTAAAGGGGATTCAAGAAGGCTCGCTAATTGATTGAGTAAAGATTTTAAATTAAGGTCTTGAGCTATTAAATCTCAGTTTAAGCTTGCTACTGACAAGCCGCAGGAATATGAAAAGTCTGCTTTTTGCAGATTTTTTCAACAGTATTGTGATTAAATTGAGCAAAGATTAAGATTTACAAAGTAAATTGCAACAAAGCTTTATTTAAAATCTCATTACAGGCAAGTAAACTACTCGACTTTTTAACAGTTTTAGTTATAAGGCACTAGTGATTGTGATTTAGTTACATCATAAGGGATATAAAATTATTACATGATAGTCGAACTAAGAATCTAAATTTTTCATGATTTCAGTGCCAATTTTAGTATAAATTGATTATTGAGAAGACTTTTTTATTTGAGACAGTTTAATCATCATTTCATCACGCCATTTTCGTCTTTCATTCAAGGTTTCCATAGGCACTTTCTTATTCATCGCCTCGATGATTTTTTCAGCTGTTGGTCCTTCCATCTTCTTGACTGGCTTGAATGTAGATTGAACATCAAAAATTCCTTGAGCGTACTTTTCAAAATACTCAGTCATTCCATTGGCATTCAAATGAGCAGTTTCCCATGGACCTGTGAAAGCATATCTCATTCCGAGTCCTTCAGACATAACAGCATCTAAATCTTCGACACTAACCACATCATCTTCAATTAATCGATAAGCCTCAGCAAAAATGGCATCTTGAATACGATTAATAATAAAGCCAGGAACCTCTTTCTTAACCACAATCGGCTTTTGACCAACTTCAGTTAAAATAGCCTTTGCTCTACTGACTATTTCTGGTTTAGTCCATGGTGAGGGAACCAATTCAGTCAATGGAGCGAAATAAGGTGGATTGACAGGGTGATTAACGAGAGCAGATGATCGATGTCTAATGTGTCCCATAAATTGGGATGGAGGTATGAAACTGGTTGAGCTGCACAGGATGGGGTCACATTTGAGCATACTATCGATATGTTTGAACACTTTCTGTTTCAGAGCAACATCTTCAAAAACACATTCCTGTAAAATAAAATGAAAAAGACACCATTTGAATAAACCTATCATAAAATAACATCTGAAAGTAAAACATTAGACAAACAGTTAATTTTAATGTTGAGATTATTTTGTTTTCTCAGTAACTATATTTCCACAACATATTGTCGCCATTTCAATTTAAAGTTTGATTTCAACTCTCAATCAGAGCTATTCAAACTGAATAGGTTGTAACATTCAAATCTATTCGTAAAGGTCAAATTTGTTACTTACTTGAACCCAAAAAACGTCTTGCAAGACCTCAGACATTGTTGTTGCTCCACTGATCAATGCAGCTTGTTCTGAGGCTGATAAGTTACCACGAAGAAGTTTCTTTGATTCCAAGTTATTTAGCTGATCAACGATTGATTTGATGGCAGTGATGACTTTCTCCGGTTGGTTATCATACATTTGAACACGATAGCCAGCAGAGACGAAAATCATTGCCCAGCTTTGTCCAATCAGACCACTGAATATTGAATAAGAATAATAATAAGAATAAAGTTTATTTGTTATTAACGGTGAAGATAAACAATTGTTATTGTGTTAATACTACTGTAATAGAACTGTTTTTACTTACCTTCCGATAATTGCAACCTTTTCCTTAGAAGCCATTTTCAGATTTTCAATTTATTTCAACACCGAAGGGTTTCAATCAAAGAGATCAAGAAAATCTTCAAAGTCAAAATCGTAAATGTAAGCTAAAATAAGGTAAGGAATCATAAGTAAACTTGTACAATAGGATGAAATTTATAACTAGGAATGAACGACAACTGAACGGATGATTTGTACTCTTCTCTGATCATATTAACTATCTTATTATCACTATCTTAAAATTAATCTCTCTCTATCTCTCTTTCGCTCCCTCTCTTTTCAAATCAATTCACAAACCTATCTTGTTATCATTTCATGTCTTCATATCTGTTGCATTTTGTTTTCAAATAACCTGTTTACTCTTTCTATTTAACCTATCCTAGGGAAAATTGCATGAAACTAGTTCAGAGAAATGATGGTTATCGAATTCGTGTAGTAACAGTGATAATTGAAAAAAGTGGTGAAACCCCACCAACCGTATATCAATGCGTTGCTAACGACTCATACGATACGTTTTTAAGGTTGTTTTATCTTTGAAATCGTAATAAACATTTTTATTGATTATGTAAAAGCATCTAAATGAGTAATCCTCAATTCACTGCTGACTCTAAGCTCTCTCACTCTAATCAAATGTCAAATTTAATTAGGCTTGCAGCTTTGTTGACTAATGACGTTAATTCCTAACAAGTTGATTTGATATCCAAACTCTTGTTCCATTGATTCCCATGTATTCAGTCTTGAATTATCAGCTTCATATTCTTTTGCTACATGTTAAACCAATTTTAATACCAATGGCTTCTAATTAACCCTAACTGTTAATTATCCACATTCAAACTGTGCGCCTTAATCGATCCACCTATTTGGCGTTAAACAGCTGTTTTTTCCAACTGTTAATCAAGTTGTTGCTACTGGATTGGTTCTTGTTTTTTTATTTAATCAGTGATTCTGTCTTTGTGACAATTTGACTCATGATTGCTCAGTTTTTATGACTTATTAAAGAGTGAGTATTTATTATCTTCTTGGTCTAATTTGTTTACTCTCAGGTAGCTTAAGAAGTTTGGCTCAATCTATTCACAGATTTTTTTCTATCTCCTT